TGGCACTTCTATTTCCAATCTGCGAAGTAAATGTGAACGGGGGAAAAAAATGTATGGCCATGAGTGTCTTTTTTGCCAGGGTTTCGATTTTACCAGGCATTTCTAGGCATTTAATGCCTAATGGTTTGATGAAATACTCTGTGTTGAGATTCTAAGAAACTTTGAAATATGCAATAATTAAACCAGGGGGTAAAAACATACAACGGATAGATTAAAAAGAGTAACGAAGATCTCTTCAAAGAAACTGACTCATGAAGAGAACTGATCACCCACATCAGGAGACAATTTGCATACTTTGGTCATGTGACGAGAAGGCAAAAAGTGGAGTACATCGTGACAGTAGAAAAGCTGGATGGGAATAGCTGTAGAGGCGGACAGAGAGAGAAAATACTTAACAGTGTGATATCATGGCAGGGAAGATCATCTGTGTCCGAACTGTGAGAAAGTACACGAGACAGAAGGTTGTGGATATACATAACTATAGAAGCCACACGGCAAAAAAAAATATTTTCCTATTCTGTCACACACGTTTGTATAGGCTGAGTTAAGTTGAGTCAAGAATTGATATCACAGCACTCGGGGCATTACTATGCATGCTTCGTCCTCGTTTTCAGCAGCCAGCGCAGAGTTCCTAGACTGATGGTACCGGTCACAATCTGGTTATGTGTCCGTCTTGCCTTTCCTCTGAGTGTAGTGAGCCGGACAGACCCTCTGGTTACACTCAGATGCCTCATTCTCTCCAGGCCTTAATAATCTTGTTTCTCTACTGATTCCGTATCTTGTTCCCAATGGGCCTTGGCTACATCTGCCTTGTCATGTATCAATTTACCATCGTTTGTATAAGATGACAGACTAAACTCTCAAGCAGGCAGTAGTACCCAGGGTACAGTAGTAACAAGAGTGCAGTAGTAACAAGAGTGCAGTAGTGCATTCAGTCCCTATTCAGTCCCATAGGAGAAAAAGCTGACATAAACCAATATTGAATTGCCCACAACAGACACAAAACAAGGGTTAGAGAGAATGTCTAGTGATGTCATACCATACAAGTGTACTTATCTCGCCTTTAGGTGTATTGGGCATATAGGACGTTACCTAAATTTTATAGACCGATCGGCACTCGGTGGGTGATGTGGTCAACATCACGCTGGGCGCCTTTACTTCCCATAACTTTGCCTGGTAGTCATTCAAGGCCAGATCAACCTGGGAGCCAAGGTCATTTTTGAAAAAATGCTTGGCACCGCCAGGACCTGAACAAATTACCCTCCGATCCGCAGGCGAGCGTCTAGCCACTACACCACGCCGGCTCCCCTGCTAGTTGCGTAAGAAAAATAAAGGACCCTTTCCACGCCATTAGGCGTATAGGGCATGTAGGCCTAGACCTATATTTTTATATATCAATCGGCACAAGATGGGTGATGTAGTCAGCATCACGCCGGCCGCCTTTACTTCCCGGGATTGCACCTGGTACCCACTTAAGGCTGGGTCGACCTGGGAGCCAAGGTCATTTGTGAAAAAAGTCCGGCTCCTCCAGGGAGCGAACCCACGACCTTCCGATCCGCAGGCGAACGTCTAGCCACTACACCACGCCGGCTCCCCTGCTAGATGCGTAGCCTGTGCTAATGTCCTATTTCGTTTCTGTAGTATCTCATTTCCTCCCTCTACCCGTTTCTTTCTTGATCGACCAACAACATATTTTAACTCAACAAATGAGTCACTCACTGCTGCGTGGGTCGACAGACAGCATTAAGAAACGATACAATTAACACAGGAAGTGCAACTTACACTCAAGACCTCACGCTGATGTGCACCTTGTCGTTTCAGATGTGTTCTTCGAGGCAGCTGTCCGAACTCGGACGACCCAAGCCAGGCCAGATGGTTGCACGGAAACACCAATCAATGCATCTACATAACAACCATCTCCCCGACAACGGCGTCTGTGAACACGGTACAGGAAGTAAGTATGCCATCTCTATTTGTTTCGGTTTTAATGGGCGCCAGATTGAAAAAAAAAAATTATTCTTCATTTTAACTCTTTAATTATAACAATTGTTTTCCACGTTACTTTATTTAGACCAACCATAAAACGTCTTCTTTGTATTCACCATCTGCAAACCCCGGCGAAAAGTTATGGGTGTTCGTCCAACTCTGGACTTTCGTTTTGTTCCAGAATCTGAGCGTTGCGTTTACATCCATTTCACAGATCTGGCTTATTTGAATGCAGACTCTTAGTTCCTTGCCTCTCAGGCTTATTGACTCAGACTTCGAAAGATAATTTGCGTTAGACTAATCATAAAATTGGTTGAAGTATTTCCATAAGTGATCCATCCCTATCTTCAGCAGCCCACAAATAATTCTATTATAATGGCATTCGTTGCATTCTCATTGAATACTTATCTCGCATGTTTCATGTTCATTGAGTTGGTTAGTTAGTCGAGCGTTCATCCTCTTTGCCCATCAGACCAAGCGTGATAGGATATCCAACCAAACGAACAGTAGAAATAACCACCTTAACATTATCACAAATGACAAGTGAACGTTGCGGACAGAAAGTTTTCATCAGTACATTACATGAATGCACAATGCCACAAGTCCGATCAAAAACACGCAGAATCGACTAACCTAGGTATCTCCGAGAGAAATCAAGGTGTCTATCTGGCCAGTCGAATCTCTGACAAGCGTGCCAGATATGTTCTTTTCGTGTCGGACAACTCAGTCTATTATAAGTGCTGGGATCTTCTCCTAAACAAATTCCCCGCCCCCCGGGTAGTTAGCATCCTTTGGATATTTTCTCCAGGTCATGGCAGTGTGTTGGAAAATGAGCAGGCAGATAGACTGGCTGGCTCTGTACCACTTGGTTTTGAAATGATGCATGACTGGTTAGATATTGTGAGGGCCCTTTGGGAACGGGTGAACAGTGCGTAGGCGCAGATAGATCATTACGGTCTGAGGAGAACAGCGCTGCGACGAGTTCCTAGGGGATCTGGCTGACGCTCAACACTCAGGGAAAGGATGAGACGGTTATTGGTACCATCGAAATTGGAACTTTGCGCTTGCTGCTGACGATGGGGACTGAGCACTTATGGGAATATCCTGAGTGCTGTGATGTCGTTTACCAATTCATCATTCAACATTCTTAACAAATCCCGCTGCCTGTAACGCCATACGACACCAGTTCTGAATTAGTTTGTTATTATTTTTTGGCTTCCTGCAAGAGGTTCTCTCTGATTCTCTCTGTCTGTCTCTCTCTCTCTCTCTCTCTCTCTCTCTCTCTCTATCTATCTATATATTGCTCTCTCTCTCTCTCTCTCTCTCTCTCTCTCTCTCTCTCTCTCTCTCTCTCTCTCTCTCTCTCTCTCTCTCTATCTATATATTGCTCTCTCTCTCTCTCTCTCTCTCTCTCTCTCTCTCTCTCTCTCTCTCTCTCTCTCTCTCTCTACAGGACATTGCAGAACGAATCCCATTATTTTTTGGCTGTTGTGGTTTTTCTAGGCAGATTATACTTTCAGTAGATTGCCATTGCTATCTAAACGGTCAGCTTTCGGTACCACTGTCGAAACCCAACGCAAGGCATACCGTCCGCAGCTGGGATCGAACCCGGCACCTCGGCATTATGAAGCGCACATTTTCTAGACGATGGAATAGTGGGTTGGAAAAGGGTGGGGGGGGGGGGGGGGGTCAACGTGAGCTCCCTGGTTCTGTCAGCCCTGATCTGCTGTTCCAGAATTAAAATTAAAAGAAAATAAACATTTTTTTTTTACTTCCGATAATAAGAGAGCTACATGTGTTTATTAAATCATATCTGCCTACATAAGTAATCTTTCTTGAAAGTTCAAAGGAATGATCAGTCTGAAAAGAGATTAATTTCATACCCGGATTCATTAATCTAAATTAAACCTGGGAAACATTTTTTAAGTCATTATGGGTGAGTGGTTATCATTTTTATGTGTTTTTCTGGGCTGATTTTTTGTTTAATAATATTGTCTGCTGCTAATTAGAAAATCTGTTGGCGCCAGTGAATTCTCCCCCTTGTTGATCTGGGATCTTGCAAATTAATTATAAATAAGCTTATATTTTATGCGTGTTTTTCTTTGTCAGTTGATACGAGAAAGAGAGTTATGAGTTACTATTTGGGTTATCTTCACAGCAGTCCGAACACATCCATAGGTGCTCAAATTCCCCCTTCAAAATATACATCAGCATCCCGCGGTTGATGGTCCTAGTCCTATGTTGTTTGACAAGACTTCTAGTGTGTCTGGTGTGCTTCTCGTGCCTGGCTGTGCAGTTCTTTACTCTCATTTCTTGCACTCTTAGCAAAGATGTAGATGTGCTGCTCCCAAAATCCTCAGAACGTCCTACCTCTCTAATGGCGTTGACAAAGTCGGCATGATCCATAGGCTGGTCCTCTGTAACTTAAGCAGAGCCGGCTAATGTTTCGACTCTTTCATTGCCAACACCACCCACATACCCTGGGTGAAGATGATGGTAATTCTGTGCACAGTGGAGTTCATGGGAAAGTCCAACATCATAGAGGGTAGGGGGTTCGGTTTAGTGTAAGTCCATGTTTATTTCACACCCTAACACCCCATTACTATTGGATTTCCTAGGAACTCCTTCTGAAGTCTTAGATTCCTGAACATGGGGTGAACTAAAAGAAAAGAACCTTAAGCTCCTAATATCTCATAACCACACATGCCCAAGATAAATCGCCAACTAGAAAAGTCTGTTACTATTATGAGGTGAACAAGAAAGGGTACTTTACTTTTACTTCACCCCAACTCAGGAAATCCGAGACTTCTTGGGGAGTTCCCGAAAAAGTCCAATATTATAGGGGAAGGGTATGAATTAGGGTTAGGGTTAGCTGGTGTTCATTTCACAGCCTAACACCGCTATACTATTGGACTTTTCCCTAAATTCGCCACACAGTCTTAGATTTCCCGAGATGGGGGTGAACATAAAAAGAAATACCTAAAGCTGCTAACATCTCAAAACCACACATACCTATGCTTATCTTACCAACCAGGAATGTATGTGACTGTTTTGAGGTGAACAAGAAATACATTTTAATCTGGGTGTCTTCTGCATCATCTACAGCTTTTCATCTAAAAATGGTTCGCCCTTTAGTTGTGGCAACAATACTTGTGTCCACCTTGATTGTTCGGCTCTATGGCACAGAGGAGGTGTAATGACTACCGTTAACAATTTCTGGATCCTGGAGTAGAAGAGTTTAATTCCTATAGTTTTTTTTTTTTTTTTTATTTATAAAAATTAAAACACCCGTTTAAGTAGTTTTTGGTGATCATTATAAGAGATACCGTAGAAGAGGCTGGAGCCCCACTACATACTATTCCAGAAGAAAACATTGGTACACTATAACCAGCTTTCATTGTTTACGACTACTATAAAATTCGCCAGAAAGAAACAGAAATGAGGATATCAGGAAGGAAACTGAAAGGGAACCAGTGCTTAACTACCTTAGGAGACGACAAATCAAATGGTTTAGACATATTTCAAGATGGCCCTAAGATAGTCCACCAAAAGAGAGCCCTGTCGCTAAGACACTGAAGCAGACCCAGAGGTGGCCCATGCAAAGGATGGACTGATTGAATATCCAAAGCTGTAAATACCAGCATCTACATAGCACGAACAAAGGCTTGCATCAGTTGCCTCTCCAAAACATGGCACTGAAAGACAGAACAGGATCTTCAGAAAAAAAGTGGAAGAAAAAGAAAACAGAAGAAGTGATAACCTTGTCTGCAAGATGCAGTAACACGTCTTAACAACCCTCCTTAATCAACAATAAAACATTCATTTTTGGTTACAATGTTACTCATCTCTGCTTCCCTAAGGAACTCTCATAACTTACAGATGAATTCTGCATTCTTTAAACTTTATTTAATATATAACAATTATAGCCAGCATTTCCTAATATTTTCTTTTGATTCTCTTTGCCAGCTTCACCTCACCATCCCTCAGCTACCTCAAACATCTTCATACACCTGTGTCTTCTTGGAACTGGACTGGAGCTCTGTTGTGTCCTTCTGGTATTTTGGAGCAATCTGTAAAACTCCAGACTTCAGCAAAGTTGGCCTTTCCCTTGGCACGGAGGGGTTTCGGACAGTTACACTGGCACTGAACTCCAGCGAGACAGGGAAGCTGTTTGTAACTAAGAGTTTTACTTTCTACAATTGCTCCAACTTTCACAGGTATGTTTTGCAAATCTTCACAGTTCATTTTTCATTTCCAAAAGTTTCTAGTACATTTTATCAAAAGTTTACAGTACATTTTCCAAAAGCTATTAGTTCATTTTCCAAACATTTACAGTATATTTTATCAAAAGTTTACAGTACATTTTCCAAAAGTTATTAGTTCATTTTCCGAACATTTACAGTACATTTGATCAAAAGTTTACAGTAAATTTTCCAAAAGCTATTAGTTCATTTTCCAAACATTTACAGTACATTTTATCAAAAGTTTACAGTACATTTTCCAAAAGCTATTAGTTCATTTTCCTAACATTTAAGTACATTTTATCAAAAGTTTACAGTACATTTTCCAAAACCTATTGGTTCATTTTCAGAACATTTACAGTATATTTTCAACACACAAAAATGTACAGTTCATTTTCCAAAAGTCTGAAGTACATTTTCCAGATTTTACAGACAGTCATCAAAAGGTTAATTACAATTCAAGTATGTTGGAACCTAATGTGTCTTTTGTTAGTGACAGATAGTCAGAGGAAAATGAGAATCTACAATACAGGATCACGTTTAAATGAATAAATGGATTAGGAGGGCAGAGTCGGTGTCTAACTTGAGAAAACAAGGTCCAGTTCAAACCATTGTAATTTACCAACACCCCCCCCCCCCCCCCCCCCCTACGACCCATACACACACAGGCGCACACATACGTGCTTACGCACAATTAAATGTTTAAATACTATGCTAGGTGTAACGAGGAAAGATCGACTTATGAATCATTAGTTTTGATCACCTAACATAACTGGCACCAGACAGAGAGCAGTATTATACAAATACAATGGTAACAGACCCAGAGGCCGAATAAGTAGAAAATGAATCACAGCAATATCAAAGACACTGAAAAGTATTATATACGAAGCAAACTGAAGAGCCCTTTGCAGAGATCTCTTTCTTCCCTGACACTGTGAAGCCTTCCAGGAGTACAGAACAGAAGAAGAAGAAGACATACACATACGCACACATACACACACATAAACACACACAAACTCACACAGGAACATGATGATTTTGAAATAATTGGGGATCTAACATTAGGATTCATTAAAGAAAACAAAAAAATTGAAAGGATGAAATAAGCAGAGATAAGGCATCCATCTCTAGCTCTAGAAGACCAGGTTTAAATAAATCTGTGGATCTTTTAACAAGGAATCTAAGGATGTGTTATACTTGGCAGGGGTTTTAGTGTCATGCATCAGATGCCTAGTCTTGTCAGATGAGAGCGAATATCAAAGTGGATTTATAAGTACTTTGTTTCTTTTTCTTCTTCTTCTTCTTCTTCTTCCTCCTCCTCCTCCTTCTTCCTCTTCTCTTCTTCTTCTTTTTCTTGTTCTTGTTCTTGTTCTTGTTCTTGTTCTTCTTCTTCTTCTTCTTCTTCTTCACCTCTTTCTGTACCACTTCTGGGTAGAATTCTTGAAGAATTCCAATAAACAGAATCTCATTATCTTGTAAATTTTTACAAAATAGGTTGCGACATTTATGTAGAATTGTTGTTAATGTCATTTTCCTCCAAAAATAAAACCAGGTCTTATATTAACATTTTTGCTTTAAAAAAATGCACTAGGGCATTTTCCGGGAGTTGTCTATTTAGATACAAAAAACTGCCTGTATTCATATACACAATTCTACATTCTCTCAAATACAGTCATGTTATCTTCTTCTGGAACATCATCACAACTCTCCAGATCCAAAAATATGGTCTGCATTTGTCTGTGGCATCAGTACTCAAACTGGCCATTTGGCAGCAAGCCTCTGAGTTATGAGTTAGATTATTTTCACACTACTCCGGATACATCCATAGGCGCTCAGATTACCTTCTAGAAACATTCATCAGTGTCGCCTGGCTGATAGTGCCAGTTCTATGTTGTGCGTCTGGTGTGATTCTCAGGCTTGGCTTTGCACCCGATTCACAAGCCTTTGATTCTAGCTGACAGTCATAACTATTGGCTAAGGCGTTGCAAGTCCGACTCGTAATTCCAGCGTACCACGATCGAGACCCATTGCTGGCTGCGTGGATTTGTATCATGGTATGAGACGTCGCAGGTCAACCCAGCCTAAAATGGGTACCAGGATGTATGTCCTAAGGAAGTAAAGACTAGTGTGTAAAAATATGGGTGCTTTTCCCAAATGCCTGATGCGCCTAAGGCATAAAAAGGGATCTTTACTTTTACTTTACTTATCCTGAATACACTTTCTAGGGCTTACGTGGGGGTAGGTCTTTTATCTGGAAAAAACTTAGCAGAATGACACAGTTTTGTAGTAAATAATAAAATGCCACTTTATTATCACATCAGTTGTACCAGCTGCACGAACTCTACATATGGATGTGATTGGTGTGTCTATGACAATGGCTGCTTTGATGAAACCGGAAATTGCCAACCAAGTATTATCAGGGGAAAGAGTGTAAGTGAAATTCAGAAAATTTGAATAATGAGAAAAGCTTTCTAGAACTACAAAAGGTTTTTATTTCCTTGGATTTTGCAGATTTTGTTTTGTACATAGTGTGATAGACTCGAGAACGCCAAAGATTGCTGTTAAGCAGATTGTCGTTTTTGGTTTGTTTGGCCGATACCTTCATTTAGTCTGGTTTACAAAAGCGGAAAAGTCTGGCCACTGTGTATAAAAAGGCCAGCTCACTCGCCATTTGGCTCTTTTTTGACTTCTGGACGCACCCCCTAGGAGACCTACCCAGCTGTTGTGGCTCTGCACATTGGGCTAGCCAGTATGGGTATGGACGACTGCAGGGGAAGGCCAGTTGTCAGGCTGATTTTGCGGCGGTGGTATGTTTCCATAGTTAGCATTGAAATTTCTCTAGTGGTTAAACTTTGTAGAGATATTACAGTGAGTATTCTCGCTAGGAGATAGTTTGATGGCAGGTCGCTATAAGTGATTTGTTGGTCTGGTGGCATATTGAAGCTTAACGTACATGTTAAATATATTTTGGTTTGTGCCATTGTTGAGGTAATCTCGCTGAGCTTATGGTGATATTTCCTTGTTAGCTGGAGATCCCTTAGATTCTGGTAGAGCACGTTGGTTGTTGTTTATTATTTGTGAAGTATACATTAATTCTGTGTTCAATTTAGTTAAAAAAAACAGCTGTTTAATGTGATGATTATAATTCATTTGCGTGATTTAATTTAGGATCTGTAGTCTGTGCACATGGTTCGTCTAGGTGTATGTAACCATGTAGTTAGGTTGTCGTCATATAACTCACTTTACAGATATTCGTTGTCTGGGTTCTGGTGGAATATTCTAGGATCTCTGCGCAGAAGAAGCCCTGTCTTTTCTTTACTTTTCCTGTTTTTGCTGTTTAGCACGAACTTACATTTTGTTCTAATCACAATTTTTATCTCCCCCTCTTCTGTGTTTTTCCTTTTTTTTCTTCCCACTAGCACAATAAGTTCTGGAGCAGCATATGGTAAGGGAGGAAAATTCGGAACTGGTAACTCTTTTGGACCCATCAGCAGATCATGTGTGAAAAACTTGTTCTAGCAAACATTATGCAATGTGTTCTCATCTGTTACTTTTTGCATTAAGTCATAGAATACTAATGGAATATGGCATTCTCAATTACATCTTTTAAAGTTTTATACTTGTAATTTTCCTAGTGGTTATTTTTTCTCTTTAAGCAACTGCTGTGAAAAGTTTTAAAAACTGAAAGAGTTAAGGAATTGCTGAAATCGGCTGTTTTGATCTGAAAGGTGCAGATAACTCATCCTAGCTGTGTAGTACAACACAGTGTGCTAACCACCCTTGCAAGGTGAATGGAGATGAACAAGTAGATTTTGCACAATTTATAGATTGTCCAGATGTTGCCAACCAGAATAAAGAAATATGGCACACAAAGTAATCTTTCAAGAAAAATTCTGAGGCACCTGTAATTCCCCATGTTCCACATGAGAGTTTTGTGGCCCTATTAGGGACAGAGAGAGTCACCGTGGCAGAGCGGCTAGATGTTCGCTGCGGATTGGAAGGTCATGGGTTCAAATTTTTTTTTAATGACCTTGGCTCCCAGGTCGACCCAGCCTTGGGTACCGGGTGCAGTCCCAGGAAGTAAAGGCCGCCAGCATTATGTTGACCACATCATCCATCTTGTGCTGATTGGTCTGTAAATTATAGGTCTAGTCATTTATGACCTATACGCCTAAAGAAAGGGGTCCTTTACTTATCTTTTTTACTATTGGGGACAGAGGAGAATAGACGCACTGCCCACCTAACAAGCATGTCATAAAAGTCTATTAATTAGGGATGTTTACTGTGGAATCCTAGTGCATCTGCCTGAAAGGCTAGGAACCAACAGTCTGCATAAAAATAAGCCAGGTCTATAAACTGGATGTGCATGCAAAACTCAAATTCTAGAACAACACATAAGTCCAGAAGTGGACAAACAACCAGAATTTTCCACTGGAGTTTGAAGTTTACAGTTGGTGAATACAAAAAAAAAGAAGCAGACCCAAATTTGCACCATTCCATGCACCTCTCACTGCCAACATCTTGGATCATTCTAATTAGTGGCAGAACCATTTCAGTCACAGTCTCTTTCCTGTAATTGATTGTGTTTATGGATGGGTATATTTTTCAGATAGATCTTCTAATGGCTTAATTTCTCACATGATCAAATATCTAATTTCACAGGTGGTTAGTTTTATCTCCTGTTCTTTGAGTAATTTTTAAGTCTGGCATGGGTAACCCAAAGCTGGTTTGAAGATTGCTGTTATAATTACAAACAGTTTGAAACTCTCATTTTACAAACACTTTGATGATTACATTTTGTCACATTTGGTTTGGCAGAGTATAAAACCTGGACGCCATGGCCCACAGCACTGTCCACAAATTGATACAAAGATGACTGAAGACATTTATGTGCCAGTTGGGGTGAAAAAGACAATATTGTTGAAAGGTTACAACATTCCAGAATTGCAGGTGGGTGTCTCATTTTGTCTTACAGTCTTACAAGTCATCAAAGAACAACAAATGAAGTGTTTTGGACACCTAACAAGAACCCCCTGGTACTATCTGCCACAGCGGGCCACACTGAAATATTACAACAGCTATAGAGCGAGTGGAAGACCTAGAAAAAGATGGAGTGATGGCATTAAGAACAGCCTTGCAAAAATAAACAGTCTTAATAGTGCACTTGACAGAGCTCATCAATGAATGTTACATCTACCCCCGACACTTTGCTGAGGAGCAAGGTGGAAGAGAGGAAGAAGAAGAAGAAGTCTCATTTTGTTGTTAATTGTCATTTTTGGTGCAACGCAGCCTTTGAAATAATCAACTCTGAATGACCAGAGATATCAGTTTATGGGGGTGGTATTGAGAAGCAAGTTATTTGCGGATCCTTTACAGGACATTGCAGAACCAACCCCAGCATTGTTTAGCTGCTGTGGCTTTTCTAGTCAAATTTATGTCCAGTAGTTTGCCATTGCTTTCTGGATGGTTGGCTCGTGGTACCATGTCAAAACCAATGCAAGACAAACCAGCCGCAGCTGGGATCGAACCCAGCACCCAGTCATTACGAAGCGCGTTTGCAATACCTAAGCAGATGCCGACATCAAGAAGCAAGTATTTGTAATTTTGTTTATCAAGCTGCATGTTTTTTAATTACTCTTTTAAAACAATGTACTATATTAATAATTTTGTCCACATAAACAAACAATTATATAAAAATAATTCACTTCAGACCTAAACTATTCTGGAACTCTTTCTGTTTTGCTTATTCACCTTTATTGTCCTAATGTAACTGTCTATACTTAATTCGGTTTCTTTGTTTGTTTTCTCAGTTCTGTTTTTGCTTAATAATTCCACATCATTTTGGTTTTTTTCCAGCCAAAGCTAACAAACTATGAATGTCTGATAGAACTGGGTGCACAGCGATTCTCCACAAATGGCAGACGTCATGACGACAAAAGTTTGACTTGTGACATTCCAGCGGCAAGTGTTCATTATTCTCCAGGGAAAACATAAATTATGTATCTCTTATTTGTTATTTGTACAGTTTATGGTATGAAATATATCTAACTGTACCATGTGATAAATATTTATGTTCAAATCATCTGATATTTGTACAACAAACTGATAATAACAGTTTAAGTTTTGTTTTAAATAATTCAATAATATAATGTAAAGTTTCTTCATTAAAAATATTATGTTTGATGCATTTATGTTATTAACTTATTTTTTTTTTCAAATTTTTTTTTTCTTTTAGATTAACTATGCAGAAAACAACGGCACTTTGGAGGCAAATCTTTCTGTATTTTGGGGAGATAAGTTTAGGCTTGAGAGTACAAACAAGTTGATTGGTAAGAAGCCATATTGAAAGTTTAACGAGATATAGATAAACAATTTAATTTAATTATATTCTTTTGTTACAGACAAACACGCTTAACCATTAGAAATGATATTATCAGACAGACTGTAGGACACCACCATGCAGTAAATTCATTGAGAAACAGAAGATCGAATGGTTTAGTCATTTAGTACGAATGCAGCCAGAATAACTACCAACACAGATACTACACATAAAAAAATCTGAAATGTAAGCAAGCTGCCGCATTAAAAGGCTTCTACATCGACACAGAAGGACAATAGCCAATGCTGCCCATCAAGCAATAGATCATAAACTGTTTCTCCCCACAACTCTTAACTGTAGAAGTAGAAATTGTTGATGATGATGATAATCATGATGATAATGACAGATAAACAGGATCATATTTTGGTTGCATGATGTCCCTGTAAAGTTATTTATTGGAACCCACCAACCTCTCAACCTGCCCTCAGCTAGGCACTAAATTGTACAGTGTTTGTCTGTGTCTGCATGATTTAAATTTCCAACTGGGAAACATTGTTTTGATTTGTTCTATTGTTTCAGTCCATCTACACTAATTCCATATTTTTCTATTACTAAGCATTTGCTTTTGTCATTGCGTATGGGTTGAATGTGCTAGCAGTTTAGGTTACATGAATAGTAGATTATTATTTGCTACGTATTTCTTTCGGTCCTTATATTATACAAGTACTGAATTTAGGTTACACAAGAAAATATTTCATTGGTTTTAAATTAGAGGTAGATTTTTTTGTTGTAAAATATTTGTTTCTGTCAATATTACATTAACTCTCAAGTCCCAGGGGGTTTAGCATCAGAGGTCCAAGGGCTAGTCAAAAGAGATGTAAAATCGGTGCATCCTGCGTTCATTGGGCCTCTAGGCGGGAACCTATGAACGTATAATGCGTTCCTTGGAACTCAAAGAGTTAAAATGGTGAGTGAAAAGCAACAACGAAATTCATACTCTGTTCAAATCACCCCTGATCACCAGCATCATGAGAGCTAATAGACTGAAACAGCATATTCAGAGAATGTCAGATGACAGAGAGGTAAAAACTATACACAAAGAAGTAGACCACAATGCAGATCAAGAAGACGATGGAGAGATAATATCTATGCAGACCTACAAACACTTGGTGTCACTCACGGAAAAGGGAAGGCCAACCAGAGAGATGTACGAAGGCAGCAGGTGCTAACTGAAGAAATGAACCTTAACTCTTTGAGTCCCAGAGGGTTTAGCATCACAGGCCCAAGGGGTAGTCAAAAGAGACGTGCATCATGCGTTCATTGGGCTTCTATGCGGTAACCTATGAACGTATGATGCTTTCCTTGGGACTCAAAGAGTTAAGACTTTGGAATGCTAAAGAAGAAGTATTACATGAAGGTTACACATTACAATCTCTCTGTCATTATGCTTTCACTACAGATTTCTGTATTGCTACACATTTGTTTCAGTAACTATATACAAGTGTGATGTACTGGCAATGAATGAGTGCAGCCTCTGTGTGAACCTCAACTACACTAAGCCAAGCCTGGAATGTTTCTGGTGCCAAAATTCATGTGTGCATACAAGTTACTGCAAGCAGCATTCTAATGTTGTCTGCCCAGCACCACAGATTGAGTCTGTAAGTTAGGCTTTCATTTGTCTCTGTTAACTGGCAATGCATGTGAACATAAAAGATGGTTTGGTTTGTAAAGGATTGCTGTTATAGTACACAGAATCAGCATAAGTGCTTCAGTCTCTCTTTATCTCCCTCTCTCTTTCTTTCTAATTTGCTGTCTCTTTCTCTCTTTGTCTCTCTTTAGCCCCCAACCCCCCCCCCCCCCACCCCACCCCCACCCCCACCTACAACCTATCCACCCCAATCCCACACATAGCACAAAGCACATATAATAAGTACTCTAGTCTTTTTCACTCTCTCATACACACATACATACACACAACCCACAGTACACACACAGAGCACACATAAACACAGCAAATAAATATACATACAAACATGTACCACATACATAATCCACACAGCATTTAAATACACATACAGCATATAGCCCTTCACAAAGAAAGTAAAATAAACTGAAAATATGATGTCTCTCTCTTTCTCTCACACATACACACGCATACACGCATGCATGGGCGCATGCACGCACACACACACCACACAGACAGAACACACACTTAAATACACATAGCACACATATGCACACACACACACACACATAGACACACACACAGGCACACTCAGCATTAATAAATAATATAATGTAGAATTAATCATCAACATCACGGCAATCCGAACACTTCCATAGGAGCCCTGTCCCCATCTTCAGCAGCAAGCAAAGAGTTCCAATTCCGATAGCACCAGTAACTGTCTGTATGTCCATCTCGCCCTTCCCTTGAGAGTTGAGAGTAAGCCAGAAATAATGGCATTTCACCTGTCCATATATCATGTTTGTGTTTGAACACCTATCATTTTTTATCTCATTATTTTCACTTACATTTATTCTGGTTTCAGGTTTGGCCATTGTCTGGACCCATACAAGGTGGTACAAATGTTACCATCGAGGGAAGTAACTTGGGGTCCAAGTTTGAAGACATTGAAAAAGCTGTGACAGTAGCCAATGTTGGTTGTCTGCCCTTCCGCACTCTGTACTCTCCATCAAAAAGGTAGATTGTTAAATGGAATGATAATTTTCTCCCTCTATACTCCCCATCGTGGATTTTTATCGTGGTATGGGACGTCGCAGGTCGACCCAGCCTCAAATGGGTACCAGGATGGGCTGTCCTGGGAAAGTAAAGACGGCTGGTGTAATGCTGACCACATTACCCACTGAGTGCCGATTGGTCTGTAAAAATATGGGTGCTCTTCCTATATGCCCGATGCGCCTTAGGGCGTGTAAAGGGATCTTTACTTTACTTTTTTTATACTCCCCATAAAAAAATTTAGATTGTTAAAAAAATTAATAATACTTGTATTATCTGCTAAAATAAAATGATGATCAACTATTTGTTCAATATAATGCTGACTATTTGTTCAATGAGAGTACTGTTTGAATTTTTGCTCAAAAAAGGAATTAAAATGTTGATTTTTTTTAATTCATTTGAATAATATGTACAATTACAGTTAAATAGAAGCTGATAAATCTCTTTTGTGACTAGTGTGACTTCTCTGTTTACCCCACCTCTTGTCAGTGGGTTAGTTAGTTAGTTAGTTGCTTATCCTTTACAGGACATTGCAGAACCAACCCCATCATTTTTTTTTTTTGCTGTTGTGGTTTTCCTTGGCAGATTTACGTCCAGTAGTTTGTCATTGCTTTCTAGATGGTCAGCTTCATGATACCACTCTTGAAACCAACGCAAGGTGCAAGACCTGCAGCTGGGATCAAACTCAGCACCCTGGCATTATAAAGCGTGTTAGCAATGCCTAAGCCACAAATGTCAGTGGGTACTAGAGAAATGAGAATTATCAGGAAAATAATGGCGATGAGGAGGGCTTGTCTTATGTTATGGCCTGTGAACACTCAAAACCTCACAAACCACAGGCTGTATGGAATTCTGTTTTTAGAAAAAGAAACTATAGCCGGGGTCATTACCATGTTGCATGTCCTTTGCAGAATGTCGCTTTAATCACAGCTCGCCTGAAAGAAACTCGGTCTCTCACCAGATCTCCTGCATCGTGTACTATCCTATTCAGAGTGTAACTTTTATCCTGTGCCCATCTCCATGCTGCTCTGCCTCTTTCCCTCTTTCCTGGAACCCTGACTTCTGCTACTATTCTTTCCTGGAACCCTGACTTCTGCTACTATTCTTTCCTGGAACCCTGACCTGTTACTATTCTTTCTTGCAACTCTGCCTTCTGCTACTATTCTTTCCAATCAGCCATGGCTCTTGATGTGGCCAAATTATTTGACTTTCTGAGACAAGATGCTGTTTATTAGCCAATCTACCTTAATGTTCTGCTCTTTTAGGATACCAGTAGTTCTGTTCTTCTTGGTGCATGGCATTCTGAAAATCTGTCTTTAGCAATTCAGTTCAAAAGCCCTTTTGTTTTTCCTCCGCAATGATTGTGACACATCGCCATGTTTAGATCAGCCTTTCTGTATCCCTCAATCAGTATGAGTACTGATGCAGTCAAGGTAATACCAAAGAAAAGTTTAAATATCACAATCTACATATGTGTGCATCATCCTCCTTTTGTGCTGTTGTATGCCACATAGGGCTTGCAGTCTGGTCCTTTGTTCCATTATTTTCTGTGAAGTTCTATTGATATTGTACATGGAGTCCAGTCCAGCACCTTTTGAGTCATTCAACAATGTTTGTCTTAGGGCAGGGCTATTCAACGGATGCCCACTGGCCAAATCTGGCCCACGGAGGTTTAGCTAGTGACCCCAAGATCATTGCCAGTTGTATTGTATTCACGATCATTCTATGCTGGAGCTCAAACCTCTGGCCGGTGACGATCCCCATTTTTAAAATGTTGGCCCCTGAGTCAGCTTGGTTGAATAGCCATGTCCTGGGGTTTCTCTTGGAGGTCCTAATTTCACCAGTCCATTTGTTTTCCATTTGTGTTTGTGATTCTCTGTCTGTTGCTCCTCCTGATGCACCTAGTATGTCACCATCTAATTTCTTTCTTATAACTGATGATACATGCATGCATGCTTGCATTTATATGTGTGGCTATATACGCATTTGTATGTTCACATGTGTATGTTTGCCTGTTTGTTAAAAAAAAAAAAAAAGCTATGTGGCACACAATATTTTAATATATAGCAGAAGGCATGATACCAGGAAGGAGAGGCAGGGGCCGACCATAAAGATGGGCACAGTATATAAGAGACTTCTTGGATATGAAAGTGCATGAAGCAGGAGAGGAAGTTTTTTTTTTTCAGGTACACTGTGATGAGAGTGGTGTTTTGCAAGGACCTGCTATATGATGATGATGATTTAGCACACAAATGGCACAACAAGATGATGATAATGATGATTTATTGTTTCAGGATTGTGTGTCAGACAAAGTGGAGAGGTCAAGTAGCAGAAGGACCAGTGGTTGTTAGATTAGATAGAGCCAGTGCTCAGTTTCACATCAACTTCCATTACAAAGTAAGTTTCACATCAATGTCTATTGTAAACTAAGTTTTTATCAACTGCTACATAGTAAGTTTCTCATCAGTTTCCATTAAAAATAGGTTTCTCATCAGTTTCCATTACAAAGTAAGTTTCTCATCAGTTTCCATTACAAAATAAGTTTCTCATCAGTTTTTGTTACAAAATAAGTTTCTCATCAGTTTTTGTTACAAAATAAGTTTCTCATCAGTTTTTGTTACAAAATAAGTTTCTCATCAGTTTTTGTTACAAAATAAGTTTCTCATCAGTTTTTGTTACAAAATAAGTTTCTCATCAGTTTCCGTTACAAAATAAGTTTCTCATCAGTTTCCATTACAAATTAAGTTTCTCATCAGTTTCCATTACAAAATAAGTTTCTCATCAGTTTTTGTTACAAAATAAGTTTCTCATCAGTTTTTGTTACAAAATAAGTTTCTCATCAGTTTTTGTTACAAAATAAGTTTCTCATCAGTTTCTGTTAAAAAAGTTTCTCATCAGTTTCTCATACTTTTCTATTACATAGTGAGGATCTTAATAATTTTTATCACAAAGTTAGTTTTTTGTCAGTTTCCATTGCAAAGTAAGTTTTTGTGTATTTGAGTTTTAAAAATGTTTTTATGTTTTCATTTTTAAAACTCGACTGATGCTGCATTGATCTTACAGAATCCAAGAATAGAAGATATTGAGCCAAAGTTTGGACCAAAATCTGGTGGTTCTAGAATAACTATCAGTGGTCGGGATATGGATACAGGCGGCCATCTTGAAGCATCTTTTGGGGGTGCTCCTTGCATTGTAATTAAGTAAGTATGTTCATTACCTGGTGCAGTATTTTATTAATTCTTTAAATTCTAGACATATGTTAGTTTAGCTTGCTTTATCCTAAGAAGTTGTTATTCTAATTACTAAACAGATCTGAATGAGTTGAAATAATACTTTAGGAAGAGTTCAGTCAAGTTGATTCATGAAGTAACATCACAGAATTCTAGGCATTCACATAAGCACTCTGTCCTTATCCTGAGCAGCCAGTATAGAGTTCTAATACCAGTTGTACCAGTAGCAGTCTGATTATATGTCCATTTTTCCTTTTCCTCTAAGCGTCGAATATCGGCCTGATGCTCTTGGCACTCCTCGCTGCATCACACTCACTAGACTGTGATGATCCATTTGCTCTCAGAATTGTACATGTGTTCTTCATAAGGCCTCAACTATGTCTGCCTTACCGTGCATACCTTGAGGCAGAAGAATTTGAAATCTCTTCTTCTCCTTTGCATTCACTAGCTGGTTGTTCGTCCACCTCTGGACTTTGGCCTTGTTCCTGGACCTCAGTTCAACATGCACATTCATTATACAAATTTAGGTTCTTTGTGTGCAGACTATTGGTTCCTTGCCTCTCAGACAGATGTAAATTGACTTTGAATTACATGTGGATCCTATCTACTTTTGCCAGAGCCCTGTTTATAAACCTGTTTCTGGGATGATCATGGAGAGGTGTTGATAGATCTTGACTTGGTAAGAGTCCTGGTCCTGGTGCAGCACCATGTGTGGATCAGCATCTCTATATCCCTCAATCAGTATGAGTACTGGTGCATCGCCATGTGTGGATCAGCATCTCTATATCGCTCAATCAGTATGAGTACTGGTCCTTCGCCATGTGTGGATCAGCATTTCTATATCTCTCAATCAGTATGAGTACTGGTGCATCACCATGTGTGGATCAGCATTTCTATATCCCTCAATCAGTATGAGTACTGGTCCTTCGCCATGTGTGGATCAGCATTTCTGTATCTCTCAATCAGTATGAGTACTGGTGCAACACCATGTGTGGATCAGCATTTCTATATCTCTCAATCAGTATGAGTACTGGTGCATTGCCATGTGTGGATCAGCATTTCTGTATCCCTCAATCAGTATGAGTACTGGTCCTTCGCCATGTGTGGATCAGCATTTCTATATCTCTAAATCAGTATAAGTACTGGTGCAACACCATGTGTGGATCAGCATTTCTATATCTCTCAATCAGTATGAGTACTGGTGCAACACCATGTGTGGATCAGCATTTCTATATCTCTCAATCAGTATGAGTACTGGTGCAGCACCATGTGTGGATCAGCATTTCTATATCCCTCAATCAGTATGAGTACTGGTCCTTCGCCATGTGTGGATCAGCATTTCTATATCTCTCAATCAGTATGAGTACTGGTGCAGCACCATGTGTGGATCAGCATTTCTATATCCCTCAATCAGTATGAGTACTGGTGCATCGCCATGTGTAGATCAGCATTTCTATATCTCTCAATCAGTATGAGTACTGGTGCAGCACCATGTGTGGATCAGCATTTCTATATCTCTCATCAGTATGAGTACTGGTGCAGCACCATGTGTGGATCAGCATTTCTATATCTCTCAATCAGTATGAGTACTGGTGCAGCACCATGTGTGGATCAGCATTTCTATATCCCCTCAATCAGTATGAGTACTGGTGCATCGCCATGTGTAGATCAGCATTTCTATATCTCTCAATCAGTATGAGTACTGGTGCAGCACCATGTGTGGATCAGCATTTCTATATCTCTCAATCAGTATGAGTACTGGTGCAGCACCATGTGTGGATCAGCATTTCTATATCCCTCAATCAGTATGAGTACTGGTGCATCACCATGTGTGGATCAGCATTTCTATATCCCTCAATCAGTATGAGTACTGGTGCAGCACCATGTGTGGATCAGCATTTCTATATCCCTCAATCAGTATGAGTACTGGTGCAGCACCATGTGTGGATCAGCATTTCTATATCCCTCAATCAGTATGAGTACTGGTGCATCGCCATGTGTAGATCAGCATTTCTATATCTCTCAATCAGTATGAGTACTGGTGCAGCACCATGTGTGGATCAGCATTTCTATATCCCTCAATCAGTATGAGTACTGGTGCAGCACCATGTGTGGATCAGCATTTCTGTATCCCTCAATCAGTATGAGTACTGGTGCAGCACCATGTGTGGATCAGCATTTCTGTATTCCTCGATCAGTATGAGTACTGGTGCAGCTTCATGTGTGGATCAGCATCTCTGTATCCCTTAATCAGTATGAACCCTGGTGCATAGTCATGCGTGGATCAGCATTTCTATATCCCTCAATCAGTATGAGTACTGGTGCAGCACCATGTGTGGATCAGCATCTCTGTATCCCTCAATCAGTATGAACCCTGGTGCAACACCATGTGTGGATCAGCATCTCTGTATCCCTCAATCAGTATGAGTACTGGTGCATAGCCGTGTGTGGATCAGCATTTCTGTATCCCTCAATCAGTTTGAACCCTGGTGCAGCACCATGTGTGGATCAGCATCTCTGTATCCCTCAATCAGTATGAGTCCTGGTGTTTTTGTATTTCTATATTCCTTGTCAGTTACTTCTTTTTCCGTGGGGAGCCACCAACAAGTAATATAGAAATACAAAAACATTACAGTTTCAATCCTCATAAACAGGCACGCCTTCGGCGCTTCACCCTGCATTACTTCTCACTTATGGTGCTTCAAAGAGACTCACGACAACACAACCTCCCATAAACATATACAAATTTTACACTGAACGAAGCCATCTTAAAATACCCCTACAACATAGGACAGGCCGTGCAACTGGTTAAAGCATGAATGGGATGGAAAGGAACTCTCACAGTGCAGGCAAGCTGCTGAGAAGCTCCTAACAACCTATGAACATTTTATGCTTTCCTTAGGACAGAAAGAGTTAAAGATGCTAGTGTAGAATGAATGAATTAACAAATAAACTTTATTTCCAAAGGGGCACACATTTGGCATGCAGGACTGTCTTATATTTGACTTTTGCCAACACTCATTTTTCACACCGCAATTGTATTTTATAGATCCAGCATATGTTCAACTATCAAAATTCATGGTACGAGTATAAAGTTAACAAATGCAAAAATATGGATGGCAAATGCGTGACTTCAAATATGCATGCAAAAATACACACAATGCGGACACACACGTCATAGACACACAAATGAGGCAGACCTATAGACAGAAACACACATACTTACACAAACACACTTACACACATGAAAGCATACACAGAAACACAACATACACAGACACAACACACACTCCACAGCATACACAGGCATAAACACTAAAAGACATATAAAGATAGATATCCGAGCAAGACTAATACACACCCCCCCCCCCCCCCACCCCCAAGTGACGAAAATAAGTGATTGTGAAAAAAAAATCAAAAATTCTGTATTTATTGCTCAAGAGACACTACTGGCAAAAGAGAAGTTAGGGTCTGATTGAAGGAAGGAACACTTTTTTTGGTTAGAAGCACCTTTCCATTTATCTAGATCAGCGGTTCTCAACCTGTAGGTCACAACCTTTTTTTGTTTGTTTTTTGTTTAACGATCCTTTCGCACGGATTGCCAAAGACCATCACAAAACACATATTTAATATTTATTGAAGTTATGCAGTAGCCAAGAAAATAATTGTATGGTTTGGGGTGGCCACAACATAAAGAACTGTATTAAAGAGTCGCAGCATTAGGAAGGTTGAGAGGTGACCAGGACATCACACAAGCGATAAACACACGGTGACTCAAAGTGCCACCATGCGGATGAGGATCACACATGGAGAGGTCCCAGAAACCCCTTTCAGCCGTTAGGCCATATATGGCTAGGCCATATTTATGGCCCGGCTATATTCAGGACCCCGGCAAAAGCCTGGGTGGTGCTCTTTTTATTAAAAAAAATGTGCATCCCACAAGGGGACCACTTCGATATAAAGGTTGAGAGCCACTGTTCTAGATAATAGTTATATTGTGCTAGAGGACATAGTGGCTGATTGCTTAAAGCAGATGCCTTGATCAAAAAGTGCAGTTGCTGCACATATTGCAGCCCAGCTGCAAACCAAAGACATCATGACAACCAACATTTTATGAGTGAACAGTAAAAAAACAAAATAATGTCTAACTGTAAAATATGTTTATTCACAGAAGCCAGATCACCAACAGTTCTATAGAATGCATCACTTCAAAAGTCTGGCACCCTGAAGCGAAATCCCCAGTCAAAATTCTGTTTGACGGACAAGACTTCACATTAAACACCTATTTCTTGTACAAGGAAGATCCTACGGTTACAAGAATAGCTCCCCTTGAAAGTATTTTGGAGTAAGTATAACATGCAGAAATCAGTTACGAAAAAGACAAATATTTTGAGGACATCAGTAATTGATCAAGCAGATATGCTGAAGACAAACTGAAAAAAAAAAAATATTGAAATAACAGATCAGTTTTCTATTTAGGTAGCAATTTTTATTGTCAAGGAAACACAAAGAAAGAAATTTCAAATGCATCAGCAAAGCAGTAGCAGTTGTAAAAAGCTGGAACAAATTATGGAATTCTAAAGTATATAGTTTTAGAGCCAAGTTTTGTGTTTTAAGTTCTGATGTTACCTACGTAATGGGCAAAAGTTGTCCCATAACAACAACTGATGTTGGGATGTGAAATGTTATTGTTTCAGAGATTCTTCTCTGTGACCTAATAGGTGGAATGGTTAGTTCCCTTCCTCGTTGTCTTTCCTTCCTAAACAATCCACAGAATATTTTTGAAATTTTCTGCTTTCTTTTCTTGTGTCCATTTTCTGCTCTGTGACATTTGGCATCACAGGTTAACAGATGATTTGTATCTGAGCTAGGTCATGCTCGGTTGCCCATTGTGATGTGATGTTATAGAGCTCTAGATATCAGTGACTCCTTCAGTCCATCTTCTTGTTGGTCATCCCCTACCTCTGTGTTTCTACTTTCATGATTGGTGTCTGAGCTAGGTCATGCTCGGTTGCCCATTGTGCTGCGATGTTGTAGGGCTCAAGATATCAGTGACTTCAATACATCTTTTTCTTGTCGACCCCTACCTCTGTGTTTCTACTTTCATGATTGGTGTCTGAGCTAGGTCATGCTTGGTTGCCCATTGTGCTGTGATGTTGTAGGGCTCAAGATATCAGTGACTTCTTTGATACATCTTCTTCTTGGTCATCCTTTATCTTTTTGTGTTTCTACTTTGTTGTACATTCTCACTGCTGGCATCCTCGGATTCATTCTCATTAAATGGCCAAACCATTTCAGTTGACCCCTATCCATTTTTAATCCCTGTATGTAAATAAAAATAATGTCAATTTTGTACATATATGGGAGCTATGGTAACACAGTGTCTAGACAATATCCTGAAGGTCTTGGGTTCAAGTCTGCAGTGGAACAGTTTTGTTTTTATGTTACCCTGGCTCTCAGAATTACCCACCCTTAAAGGGGTACCAGGAAATATTCTAAGAAGTAAAAGCAGACCACCTGATGTTGACTGCATTACCCATTGTGCTGACTGACCTCTACAAATAGGAGTTTAGCATCATATGCTCGATGTTCTCTGTGTGGGTTCTGGGGCCCCATTGCGGGGAAAACAAGAATAAACCCACTGCCTCAATAATAAGCATGTCATAAGAGTCTAGAGGATTGCTTCAAAGTCAGAGTGCATCTGCCTGAGAGGCAAGAAAGTAGCAATCTGCATAGAGATAAGTCAGATCTGTAAAATGGATGTGTGTGCAACACTCTGGTTCTGAAACAAGATTAAAGTCCAGAGGTAGGCAAACAACCAGAACTTTCTGCCAGAGTTTACACCCAGTGAATGCGAAGAAGAAGAAGAAGTTATGCTCAGTGTGGAGCTGGCATGAACATAATTCTTTACTTTTTTTTAAAGTACATATATAAAAATAATAATGGTAAACTTTTTATGAAACTCTCTTGTTTTCAGAGGTGGCCGTGTTTTGACAGTAACAGGAACAGAATTTCAGTCTGTGGAGCAGCCAATGATGTTTGCATATGTTCCAGCAATGAATGGAGAATATTATCCTACTAATGCTACAGTAAGTTTCTGTTTTCTAAAATTTTAGGTTTTAGGGAATTTCTTGGTGAAATAAATGTCGCCTTCTTAATATTGATATCACCCACAAGATTCTGACAAGTCATTGCAATTGTTAGGTTAATGGTATATTCCTTGTATTCTTCAAGATGTTGAAATGGGTCATTTACTGTTTTATTTATGCTAGTCAGTATACATTATGACAGGAGTAAGGTTGGAGGGGAAGAAAGGCAAAAGAGACCAAGAGAGACAGTGCTGGACAGTTTCACATCATGGAATTGAATATCATCTGTATCAGAAATAATTTACAGTACTCAAAACAACAGGCTGTGGTCAGACATGATAATCGACACCACCATGTAGTGCCATGCCGGTGTAGTGGGTAATGAACAGACAGACAGATTTGCTGGATCGGCACCACTGGGTGGTGAATTGATTCATGACAAGGCAGATGTGAAGGCCCTTTGGGAAAAAGTAACGTAATCAGTAGAGAAACAAGATTATTATGGCCTGGAGAGAATGAGACACCTGGGTGTAACCAGAGGGTCTGGCCAGCTCACCACACTCAGAGAAAAGGCAAGATGGACATTTAACCAGATTTGACTGGTACCATCAGTATTGGAACTCTGCGCTGGCTGCTAAAGATGAGAATGGAGCGCACATGGTAATGCCCCGTGTGCTGTGATGTCAATTTTTGACTCAACTCAACTGACACCAATTGGTAAGGTGTGTAAGAAACAGAAGATAGACATTATCACAACTAGGGCCGTTTTTACCAGCACTTTTTAAGGCATCATTTTCTTTAAAGTGTAGTAGACAGTCTATTTTGAATACCAGCACCTTTTTTTGACACTTTTTGTATGGGTACTTGCATATTTGCTTTTCCACAGGAAAAAAGCCCTGGCCAATATCACCTTCATTTGAAGTTGAAATACATCTGTTTGAGAGGCAAGGAACCAACAATCTGCTTACACATAAGCCAGATCTGTAAAATGGATTTAAACACAAAACTGAAGTTCTGAAACAAGAATAAGTCCAGAAGTGAACTAAAAACCAGAACTTTTCACCAGAGTTTACAGCTGGTGAACATAAAGAAGAAGAAGAAGAAGAAGAAGACACCTATCATGTTCTAATATGTTAAAAAGAATGTGAACATTTCAAGATAAAAACACTTCGCTTTGTGTTGGCTACAAGAATAGCTTCTGCTAAAAGAATTAATTACACTTGTCTGTCTTTGCTATCTGCAGCCATGCCAAGTGATGAACAACAATGTGATGAAGTGTCAAACTCCTCCATTGGTCAACTCTCTCAAGAACATCATTCGCTCCAAAAGAGCAGAACAGACGGAAAGAAAAGTTCCCCATGTCAAAGTTGTGCAACTTGGCTTCATCATGGATGGTGTGCTGGCAGTCAGAAATCTCTCAACAGTACCTAACCTAGACTACATGCTGAAGTACTTCCCCAACCCGAGGGTATACAACTTCACAGAGCTCCATGGAATCAAAATTCTGAAAGGAGAATCTCTTATTATTGAGGTATGTCAAAACTGCAGGCTATGCTATGTTTGATTGAGAGAACTAGGAAAATTAGCTAACTTACTTATCTAGTAATCAGATAATCACAGTTCTAATTCAAGTCCGAGTCCGAAGAAGCTCAGCACAGTGCACAGGCTCTGTAGCACTGGCGGGGATCCTGGGATACTTTGGGTTGACTTTTCAACTCAAAATTTTGCCCGAGCAGCGCGGTTAGGCTAATCTTTTGTATTTCCAACTGCCAAAGAATTTTCTACATGCACAACAATGCACAAGGGTTTCTGATCTGACTACCCAGAGACCAAGAGGAATTACTAGAAGTCCAAGTCCACATGAAAAAAATCCTAGCCCTTGCCAGGTATTGAACCCAGAACCTCTAGCACTCGAGGTAGACACGATGCCTCGAGACCACACCCCCCCCCTTTCCCCGGTAGTGAAGTAGTAGTGGGTCTAATTCCCCCGCCCCTTTCCCACAATTGGCTCTGGAACTCACACAGGGAGCATTATGACATTATAGTAGAAAAAAAACAATGCTTCCGAAAACATGACAAGATTTTATAATATCCATCTTGCATATAGGTTTCAGTAAATTGTCGGCGTCTGTGGCTTAGGCATTGCGAACGCGCTTTGTAATGTGGGGGTGCCAGTTCGATCCCAGGTGCAGTTTGTCTTGCTTTGGTTTTGATAGTGGTACCAAGAGCTGACCATTTAGAAAGCAATGGCTAACTACTGAATGTAAAATTTGCTTAGAAACACCACAACAGCCAAAAAATGCTGGAAATGGTTCTGAAACGTCCTGTAAAGGATACGCAACTAACTTTAGACCTAAAGTGTAATACATTATATTATATTTTATATTTTTTAAATCTTATAATATCTTACATTTTATTTCTTATAACTTATATTTAGGGTGCTGACTTGAACATTGCTGCAGAAAAGTCTGAGGTAACAGTCATGATTGGAACTTCCCCTTGTAATGTGACCACATTCTCTCAGTCCCAGATTGTGTGTAAGCTTCCCAGTAGCCAGCCACAAAGTTCTGGTTCTAGTTCTGGGGAACAGGACAGGACAAATCCACCTTTTGTAAAGGTAATTATCATGTTTTATTACAGCCTAATTCCTCTTCTTCTTTTGTCAATATCTACTTATACCGCTAGGCGTCGCAGTTCATCAGACGATCGGCGGCCGAACCAGGGAGAGCTCAGTCGCTTGATATGCCATGACTTTATACAGTCTCAAGGTGTCAGTGACTCCTTCAATCCATATACTTCTCGGTCTTCCCCTGCCTCTTGATGTTTTGATTTTCATGTTGTATGCTTTTGCTGCTGATTTTGTTGGTTTCATTCTCATTAGATGGCCAAACCATTTCATTCTTTATTTCTCAATAAATTTGGTGATGGGTATTGTTCCAACAGTTCTTGTGATCACATCGTTTCTCACCCAATCTGTTCTGGTTTTATTCACAGCCAATCTCACCTCACACGTGGTTAGTTTTCTTTCGTGTTCTTTTGTCAATGTCCAAGCCTGAAACTGGTAACCTTAAAATCTATAAAAACATTGTATTTATAATTTGTCTTTTTGTCTTTATTGAGATTGCTGTGTGTTCTAAAATTGGGACAAGTTGGTACATGACACTGTTGGCTTGTTGGATTCTTGTTTCCATCTCTCTGTCTATTTTACCATTGTATGTAAAGATGCTTCCCAAGTATTTAAATTCTTGTCAGCTTAATTATTGGTCAGTATTAACAGCATTTAACTCTTTGAGTTGCAAGGAACGCATCATACGTTCATAGGTTCCTACCTAGAGACCTAAAAAACGCAAGATGCGCCGATTTTACATCTCTTTTGACTACCCCTTTGGCCTCTGATGCTAAACCCCTTGGGATTCAAAGAGTTAATGAATCATTGGGGCCACCGTGGTGTAGCAGCTAGACACTTTTGTGTGTGGATCATCATGGTTCGGGTCCTAAATGAGTCAGACTTTTTTTCAAAAATGACCTTGGGCTCCCAGGGCAACCCAGCCTTGAGTGGGTACCGGGTATATTCCTTGGCAAGTAAAGGCAGCCAGTGTGCTGTTAACCACATTGCCCGCCAGGTGCCGACTGATCTGTAAAATATAGGTCTAGCCCTGTGTGCCCAACACGCCTGAAGGTGTGGAAAAGGGTCCTTTACTGAAACTTTACTTATTTACCGAATATACTAGTTCATTCATTCATTCTTTGTTCTGTTGTGCCATTATATGTCACATAGGGCTCTGGGTCTATTCCTCCATTTCATTCTATCCTGTGTAACCCTTTCCATATCATGGATGGAATCTCATTTAGCAGCTTTGACCTCTCTCATCAGTGTTTGTTTTAGGGTTTCTTTTGAGCATCTAACACATCACTGCAGAGTCACTTAAATGCCACAAAACTGCTCCACCATTCACATTACAACATAATGAATAAGACTTTGGAGGGTATTTTGTAAAACGAAATTAGTCTCCCCACGGACCACCCATATACACATTAGCTCACTTCTGATTGGTAGTTTCTAAACTTGTCACCTCTGCACAAGGTTACAGGGGTGCTCTGCAATGCTGTTGATATCACATGTGGTATATTTCAGCACGCCAGGGCTTTTAACACTCCAAAAACATGGACAAACTGGGCCTAACACAAGCTCCCCCCTTCCCCCAGAGAGTGCTGCAACCTATGTCACAGGCATTCTCTTTCTCAGAATAAAAACGTAAATGCAAGATAACCAAGAAAGCAAACAACAGAGCAGCACACCTGTAACCTGCATGAAAGTAAACTTGTGAATAAAATGTGACCTACTTTGTTTGGGGAGACTAACTTAAACCTAACCGGGTATTCATTCATTGTCCTGTTGTGCAAGTATACGTCACATAGGGCTCTCTGTCTACTCCTCCATTCCTTTCTATCCCATGCAATTCCTTTCTCATTAATGATTTCCTGAATAGCCAGTCCTTACTGCTCTGATCCCTACTGCTCCAATGTCCTTATTGGAGGGGTAGTTGGTTTGTTCTATACTTCTCCCTGAAATGGGGCCCCAGAACCCACACACAGTGACATTTACATTGACTCATATATTCAGTCATTGAAGGAAATCATATCTTTATGTGTTTATCTTTCTTTAGGTCAGGATCAGCAACTTGGAGTTTATAGTTGGCCGTGTTGAGTATGATGTTCCAGAGACCTTCACCTTTCCGGCAGAAGCCATCGCTGGTATTGCAGCTGGAGGGGGCTTCCTGCTTTTCATTATCATCCTCATCCTCATCATCTACCGCAGACAGAGCACCAAGGCAGAGAGGATATACAGAAAGTTGCAGATACAGCTGGATAACCTGGAGAGCAATGTTAGAAATGAGTGCAAACAAGGTTAGCAAAGTCACATGTTAGCATGTGTCTGAAAGAAAGTATTAAATAGTTCAGTGTTTCTTATTCTTTATCCTCATACAAGGCCACCTCAGATGCCTTTCTTCTTTACACAAGTAAGAGCACTTCTGTCATCTCACTGAGACCGTGCTACAGCCTGGTGTTGTGATTTTCTTAATTTGTCTGGTGTTCGTTGAGTGGTTTGAGAGATGGAATTTTTTTTTTTTTTTCAAGTTTTAGCTACACCATTTATCCATCTTTTCCTTGGTCTTTACCTTACCTTCCTCCTAGATATTCTGCTTCAAAAACTCTCATATGCTATTTGGTCTGGCTGCATTTTCACAAGATGCCCGAACCATTTCATTCTTTGTCTGACAGTATATAGAGACACTGCCTTGTCCCAACTTCCTCTCTAATTCTGATGTTCATAACCCTGTCTCTTCTTGTACTGTTAGTGACCCTACCAAGGCCGCACATTTCGTGAGTCATTTTCTGTACTAGTGCCCCACTAACTGTCCATGTTTGGCACTGATAACAAAAAGTAGGGATGAAGATACTATTAATCATTTGCTATAGTGCTGGAAGAGGAGAGACATTTTGGTGATAAATATTATTTTGTTTATTTTTCTGTTCCAGCTTTTGCAGAACTGCAAACAGACATGACAGATTTGACAGGTGATTTGGTGTCCAGTGGTATTCCTTTCTGGGACTTCCATAGTTACACATTCAAGGTTCTCTTTCCTGGCATGACAGATCACATCATACTTCATCCTCCCATAGTAAGTGTTGTCCAAAAATAAGCACTGATTTCTTTATAATTCATGTAGCAGTTAAATCGGCATATACCAAACCTGACATCCCAAACTGAGCCAATAGCTTTAGGTGGAGAAGCGCAATGTGGAGGATGCTAGCCTTAACATAGTAAGAGACAATACAACCTGAAAATTGATTGTTATGGCAGGGCAGACTAGGACCTTAAACTTGGTTGGCAGCTGGTCTAGGAGGAAAGTTCAGACAGGTGGATAGATTGAACACGGCTATTCTGATAAGGCTTCTACAGCTGGCCCCATCCTGGCTGTTGCCATGGGCTGCACTATAGCTTAATGGTTGAATGCCGTTTCGGGGACCTCTTCACGGGTGATCCTCATCCGCATGGTGGCACTTTGTGTCACCGGGTGTTTATCGCTCTGTGTGATGTCCTGTTGGGGTAAAAGTTACTTACTTACTTACTGCAGCTGGCTTTGTTCCAAAAGTACTTGTGTTGAATTTCCTTTGAAGTAAACAAGGAAGGATCATGATGCATGGGTGACATATGGTCTCTACAATACTGCCCAGGTTTTGTGCTATGAAGATGAGGAACCAGTCCCATGTCTCCTCATGGCAAAATATAACAGTGTCATCTGAAAAGATGGAAGGCACCAACAGCAGTAGTTAAACAACATAAGGAGCAAATGGTGCAACATCAGCAAAGTGGTAGAATAGATCAGCAGTGATTCCTGCAGACTAGCTTCATTACCCTTCTCTCTGTTGTTATTTCTTCTTCTTTTAATAGTCCATGCTGTGTGTTGTTGATAGCTCTGTCTATCCACAACCTTCTGTGACATGCTTTTTCAATGATCTCTGACACAGATAATCCTCCATGCTATGATCTCAAGCTATCCAGCATTCTTTCTCTCTACCTCTTTTCCTATTCAACTTTCCCGCTGTCAAGATGCATTCAAATTATCTCCTTCTCTTGACATTACCTGATAAGGCAGATTGTCTCCTTCTGATGTGGGTTACTCTTGTCATTTAGGAGATTAAAAATACAGGATTTATTTACCTATCTGCCAGCCTGGAGGAGCCAGACATAAACATTTCTCTAATGGTACAAGATGTTTGATTGGTCAATACATAACAGGTGTGATCAGTTGTTTTAACCCTTTCACCCTGGAACACTGAAAAAAGGGGAATATCCTGTTGGAATTCCCGGAAAAATCCTCTGACATTTTTTTTTTTAAGTTACAGAGGTCGCTAATAAATTAGTAAATACAGTTTATTTATCTACAGTTCTCAATTTTTCTGTAAAAATGTATAAAGTGAAATGACAGAAGTAATCAATAAACATGGACAGGGTGAAGCATTGAACGGAATAGATTCTCTGGAGCCTTAAAAAAAAAAATATATGTATCAAGTGACGTGTGCCGTGACCCCATGACCTCTGTCACTGAGGCTTACAGGAACATTTAAGATCAACATAGATTTATAAAGGCTATTTGGCTCAAAGAAAAAACTCCCAAATGCTATTTTAAGTTCATTGTATTTATAGCCTGACCTTCTTAACATTTGTGCAGTTGCAAAAGCAGCCAATGTCATTAACTATGCATCTTGTAAAGAGGTCACAAGTCGGAAAAGTGAAATATACAGGGAATTTTACAGAACCAGAAGTGTCACTTCTGCGGCTTCTCTGGGTGAGAGGGAGCTACCAAGCATTCACCTTATTTTAAGTTGAGGGGGTCAGGGAAGAATGACCAACTGCTCATCAACAAGCATGTCATTAAAAAAGCAACTAATTAATTAAGGGTTTGCAGAAACTAGACGTGTAGGACCATGAGGCATAGAATTCCAGCCTAGCCTTAAACCGAAAGCATGCTGAGAAAGGTGAAGACAGTGATGCTTCGAGCAGAATGGCAAGTTCAACTTGGAAAGTCACATAGTGAGCATACTTTGAATATTTTTTCCAGGCTATGCTGGTGTGGTGGGTAATGAACAGACAGAGGGACTGGCAGGATCTGCACTACTGGTTGGTTAATTGATACATGACATGGCAGATGTGGTCGGGGCCCTTTGGGAACAATTAATGAAGTCAGAAGACTTATTAGTTAGGCAGGTAGCATGGAAGAGTTAAAGTTAATCCCAGACATCAGGTAAAAAGCATTTCGCTCCATAAGAGTTACATAATCCAATGTAATTAGGAAATAATTAGATGCTCATGTTCAACATGCATATTTCTCAGATTTATTAATTATGCAACAATTTAAAATAATCCAGATTTGTGTGTGTAAAATGTTATGTTGCAATCATTACCTTCTTTATTTCTCTCTTTCAGCAAAAGAATGGCCGTTTTCAGTTTTCTGATCACGGTCTTCAATTGTTCCATCAACTTTTGAGTAAAAAACTTTTTATGGTAACTTTTATTCGCACTTTGGAGGAGCAGAGAGCTTTCAGCATTAGAGATAGGTAAGCAAGCAATTGTATGTATTTGCTTCCTCTTCTTTCTTTGTTCAACGGCTGTAAGCTCTGGCGGAAAGTCCTGGTTGTTTGCCCATTTGGACTTTGGCTTTGGGCCAGAGCCTGAGTTTTGTGTGTACATCCATTTTACTGGCTTATTTGTGGCGCGGTGATTTATGTCACAGGCGTGAGGGGAAGTTAAGTCCAACATGATGTGTATAAGGAGATACTCCGTACGTCACTCGGGCGCCAGTCCTTCACTATCCTGGTTGTACGGAACCTCACGCAAGACCCCTACAGCACGTCCTCGTCGTGCGCCACGGATAATGTCTCAAATGAGCATTAACAGAGCTGTCAGGGGATCTCTGAGTTTGGCGGCCCCCAGAGGTGATGTGTCCTTGTGGCTCTCATCAGCCCGCCCCCAAACGCTTGGGTGAAAAATGTTATCAAAACTCATTAGGAACATGAGTAGGGTTGACAAACATACAGCTAAAATTACAACCCTTGGTTAAAAGACTGCTGAGTAAAGAGATCATTGCTCACTGCACATCCTCTGTTAATTCTCAGTGTCGTCGTCACCGCGCTGAGGTACAACCACAACAGCAACCATCCATAGGCTGGCCATCCTTGTACATCCTCGGTTGGCCCTCAGTGTCGTCGTCACCACGCTGAGGTGCACCACAACAACAACCATCCATAGGCTGGCCATTCACGTACATCCTCTGTTAACCCTCAGCGTCGTCGTCACCGAGCTGGGGTACACCACAACAGCAACCATCCATCGGATGGCTAAGCCTAAATGTCCGACAAAACTAGATCATACGGATCAAAATCTGACCATCAAAATTTGCACTGAACTGAAAAAGACCGAATATCCACACCCAAAGACCCCACTCGCCCGAGTGTTGGGACAAAACTGATAACGATACGCCTGATTCAGGATGTGAAATTCTGTCAGGCTAATGTACCTATCTGTGTGGTCACAAAAGTCCAAAACCCACGGGCTGCTCCCCGCTGACTTCCAGAGGGCGCAGCCCCTGTCGAGTGGGAGGCCTGATACGGTTGTGAGGTTAAGCAGGCATGTGCAGGACGTGACGATTCCTTGGGTGAGCCCAGAATCAGAGCAATATGTGCCGGCTCTGCATGCATGGAAGCCTCCTTGGATGGCGGGAAATGCTCATGATCTGCCCCTGCCTTCCCTTGAGGGCCAACTGTTCCACAGGGGGCTGCCCCAAAGGAGTACTCTGGGGGCAATACCTGCGGCGAAGGAGACAAAATGGACACCACACAAATTAGGCAACGTCTCGACCCAAACAAAACAATGGCCACAGTCACCCTAGAAATAGGCCTGACGTCTTCCTTCGAAGTCGGCGTACAGCTGCCCAAGAGGCAAGGAAATTAAAAACGGTTGTACACGCAAAAATCAGGTCCAGGTGAAAGCCAAAAGTCCAAGCGGACGATTAACCGGGACCTTCCACTGGAATTCACAGCCGGTGTTCGATAAAAAAAAAAAAAAAAAAAAAAAAACTGGCTTATTTGAGTGCAGTTTGGTGTTCCTTGCCGCTCTGGCAGATGCACTCCGACTTTGAAGGAAGTCCCAATTTATTTGACTCCCACGACGTGCTTGCAGGAAAGGAAGTTGTTCTGTTCTTGTTTTTCCCCACAATGGGGCCCAGGAACTGACACAAGGAAAATTGTATGTATGATGCTAACAAATCAAAGATAGATGTGTGATAAATATTACAAATGTTAACTTTCAACAGGTTAAAGGTGAGCTTCTTTTCAGCTCCCAATGAAGCTTCTTCCTCTTCTTCACGTTCACCAACTGTAAACTCCGGCAGAAAGTTCTCATTGTTCGTCCACTTCTAGACTGCAGTCATTTTCCAGAACCTGAGTGTTGCGTGTGCATCCCTTTTCCAGATCTGACTCATTTGTATGCAGATTGCTGGTTCTTTGCCTCTCAGGCCAATGCACTCTGACTTCGAAGGAAGCTCCAAGTTTGTCAACTCTTACAACATGCTTTTGGGAAGGCAGTGGGTCTGTTTTTGTTTTTCCTATAACAGGGCCGCGGAACCCCCACAGCTCATGCTAGATTTTAAAAATCAGCCAGAAAAAATAAGTGATGAAAACAGGGGAGACTGCAGTCAATGTAATGCCAAAAATCTGATCCAATTAACTGAGACTAAGAATCTAAACTAGGGGGGTGAGGGGAACAGCATACACGCACAAGAAAAATGTTTCAGCCAGGGCCTTTCTCAACAAAAACCACAAGAGCAACAAGGGGCAAATGAAAAAAAAAGATTTGTTTTATTTGTAATAACCTTATTCTTATTTATTTAACATATAAAAATATTTCTTTTTCACCAGAGCCAATGTAGCTTCGCTGTTGATGATTGTTTATCTTAATAACATGGAGTATGCCACAGAGTAAGTCTTCTGCATCTCTTTGCTTTCTTCCTCCTCCTCCTCCTCCTCATTCTTCTTCCTCTTGTTCTATTACTTCTTCTTCTGTTATTTCTTCTTCTTCTTCTTCTCCTCCTCCTCTTCATCATCATCCTCCTTCTTTTTCTTCTTCTTCTACTTCTTCTGTTAGTTCAGTTTGATTAATACTTTTTCTTCTGTTACTTCTTCTTCTTTGTCTTTTTCTTTTATTCATTTATATGGTATCATTCTAGTTCTTCAGTTATTTCCTACATGACAACACTCTGCATTTTAGTTATTTATTAACTAAATATATAGACAGATAAAAAGTGTCTTGTTTAAAATTTGTTCCCAGAATTCTTCAAGAAACCTAATTTTCTTTTTAATTACCACATTTTGTTCACTATTTCAAAACCAAATGTGTTGACAGCTAAACCCTTTCATATCTGGAATGCTAAAAAATAATGGGTCAGGATCCCGCAGGAGTTTTTTTTTTTTTGTAAATCCTTAGAAAAATTATTTTCATCAATACAGGTCACTAGTAAATTGTTATAGAAATATACACAGATATTTTTTTTTTTTTAAATATCCAGAAACCATGAGTTCTTAACCCTTTGGCTCAGTACTATGGATATCGCAACCCTTCGGCCTTGATTCCATGATAGGTACCGTAAATCTAGGAGAAATTTGGCTTTTCTGTCTTCCCCCGGGAGTGAACCCGGACCATAAAGAGTTAGTCACCCGCTCACCGCGATGTCAGGTTCAACGAACTATGCTAGAGAACCGGGCATAAAGATATATAAAAGGAGTAATCAGTAAACATGAACAGAGTGAAACATTAAATGGATACATTTCCTGGGGCTTTAACAACAAAATGTTTCAGGTGATTCATGCTGTGATGCAGGGGCCTCTATCATTTTTACCAGAATCCTCAAATGTATCTCCATAACCATCATGTTTCAGTTATTTGGTAACTAAACTATTTCAACTGTTTGTAAATGGAAACATGTTGATAGCTTCATAATATTGTTATTTTACATTTTCTTTTCAGAATTCTCAAGTGCCTCCTGGTAGATCTAGTTCACAAGTCTGTTGAAGGCAGACATCCCAAGCTCATGCTTAGAAGGTATTATTGATTATTTTGTCTTACTTTACTTTTTCTCTCCTTACACCTGAAGAAAGCTCTGTGATTATTGATTACTTTTGTCTTTCTTCAATTCTTTTAGTCCTAACTATTCAAGAAAACTGTGACTGTTCCATTACATATGTGATGTTTTAACATATGGAATGTTGATACTGGCTCAGTTAAATATCTGATGTTGATATGGGTTATACAGTCACATATGCAACTGTTTGAAATGATGGAAAGGACATGGAATGAGCTGCAAAGGACAGGATGACTTGGTTGAGAGCCTTTGTTCCACTGAGGGAAAATGGACAGAGGAGAAGAAGGGGGTAACAGTAAATGTCGCTGAATTTTGAGAATTTCCCACTCTTGTCAAGTTCTTGATGGCATAATGGATACGTCACTTACCTGCCAGTCCAGTAGTCTTCAAAACCGGCCAATCTATCAGGTCTGTCATTGGCAACAACACCTGCATATCCTGGGACAAAGATGAATAACTGCTTGCACAGGGTAGTTTCGCAGTGACTTAATCCATTGTCTACAAGAGGCAGTAAAGGCCAGATTTGAAGTAGGCAGTATCTTAGAGACCATGTGTTGTCCATGCATCATCATCCTGTGGCGAGCTTCACTGAGAAGGTCACGGGTAGTAAGCATACTTTGGATCTTTTCTCCAGGCAATTCTGGCGTAATGAACAGGCAGACAGATAGCCTGGATCTTCACCACTGGGTGGTGAATTGATACATGACAAGGCAGATGTGGTTGACACTTTAGGAACAAGCAAAGGAATCAGTAGAGAAACAAGATTATTATGGCCTAGAGAGAATGAGGCACCTGGGTGTAACCAGAGGGTCTGGCCAGCTCACTACACTCAGAGCAAAGGCAAGACAGACATATAACCAGATTGTGACCGGTACCATCAGTATTGGAACTCTGCACTGGCTGCTAAAGATGAAGACGGAGCACGCTTAGAAATACCCAGAGTGCTGTGATGTCAGTTCTTGACTCAGCTCAACTCAACTCAGCTCAACTCATCATCCCCTTCTTAGCCTTGGCATGCTTTTTTTTCTCAAAAGGTAACACCAATACATTTTGAACAAAGCAGGCTGCAGAAGCTGCAGGATCAAAAGAGCAGTACTCTGTCTGCCCACCTGTTGGAGCTTTCCTCCTAGACCAGCTGCTAGCCAAGTCTAAGGGCCAGGTCTGCCCTGCCATAACATTTAAGTTTTCAGGTTGCGTTTCTTCTTCCTAGGGAAAAGTTAGTATCCTCCCCACTGCACTAGTTCATCTGAAGCTATTGGCACAGTGTGGTTTGTTCCAATATTCTGCATTAAAAGAGAACTACTGTTATACTGTAGCTCAGTCATAGATTCTAATTTTATTTACCTACTTAATACCCAGTACATCTCACTATGTGGTAAATGATACTTTTTTTTTTTTTAAATATCTATCAATCTTCTCCTTCTTTGCGTTCACCAGCTGTTAGCTCCAGCAGAAAGGTGTGGGTGTTGGTCCACCTTTGGACTTTAGTCTTGTGTCAGAACCAGGGTGTTTCGTGCACATCTGTTTCACAGATCTGGCTTATTTGTATGCAAACTCTTGGTTCCTTGCCCCTCAGGCAGATATACTCCAACTTCAAAGAATGCCCCTCTTAGTCGATTCCTGCAACAGCTAGTTGGAAAGGCAATGGGCCATTTTTGTTTTCCCCATTTTTGTTTTCCCCATTTTTGTTTTCCCCATTTTTGTTTTCCCCATTTTTGTTTTCCCCATTTTTGTTTTCCCCATTTTTGTTTTCCCCATTTTTGTTTTCCCCATTTTTGTTTTCCCCATTTTTGTTTTCCCCATTTTTGTTTAGAAGTACTTGACCCACGCAGGGAATTCTTTATGTATATATAAAACCTAATATTTTCTAATTTTGTCTGTATCATTTTAAGATGATTACAAAATGGCGTATTGTTTTATTCAACAGGTCAGAATCAGTAGTAGAGAAACTATTGACAAACTGGCTGTCAGTCTGTTTATATAAATATCTCAGGGTAAGTTGTTGGAGAATAATCTGCTGATTCTTCTTCATAATCTACTGATTATTTTCTGTTCTACTTATTCATCTTTGTTGTCTACTTATTATCAGCACTATCTACTGATTGTATACTGATTCATCTTTGCTTTCTGTTCATTCTTGCATTCATCTGTCTTTGGAGCCTTTACTTTTACTAAACTACAACTGCAGTTAATTGCAGTGGTTATCGATTACTTTTGTCTTTCTTCATTTTTTTTGGTCCTAACTATTCAAGAAAACTGGGACTATTCGATTACATGCATGATATTTTGACAGGTTCAGTTACAAATGGAATGTCGATACTAGCCCAGTTAAATATCTTATGTTGATATGGCTTAAACAGTCACATATGCAACTGTTTGAAATGATGGAAAGGACATGGAATGAGCTGCAAATTATCATTGGAACCTTTACTTGTTGCTCTTACTGTACTATAACTACAGTCATGAATACTTAGATCTTTTCCTTATTACTCTTACTCTACTATAACGGCAGCATGAATCGCTGGATCCTTTACTTGTTATACTTGTTACTCTTACTGCACTATAACTACAGTCACTAATCCTTGGATCTTAACTTGTTTATTTTACTGTACTATAACTACAGTCACCAATCCTCAGATCCTTTACTTGTTTATCTTACTGTACTATAACACAGTCACCAGTTCCTGGATCTTAACATGTTACTCTTACTGTACTATAACAAGTCATAATTCCTTGAAACTTTTACTTGTTACTCTTACTGTACAATAATTTAATTAAAAATCCTTGAATCATTTACTTGTTACTCTTACTGTACTATAATTAAAATTACAAATCTTTGAATCATTTACTTGTTACTCTTACTGTACTATAATTAAAATTACAAATCCTTGAATCATTTACTTGTTACTCTTTCTGAACTATAATCATAGCCTTTTTATAGAAAAACAAAGGTGGGATACTGAAAATGTTTAAAAAGTGCCGTTATTCATCACAAATTGTTTTTAACAGAAGCACTAAAAAAACATTCCTTAAAAAAAAAAAAACAACAATAAAAAAATTACCAGGCAAAAAAAACTTGACCATAACTGCAATCCCCTATCCCGGGAAAGTTGACTTGTTACTCCTACTGTACTATAACTAACTGTTTAATACTTTCCACACAGGATTACGCAGGGGCATCCCTGTTCATGTTGTACAAAGCCATCAAACTTCAAGCAGAGAAAGGTCCAGTAGATGCAGTCACTGGCGATGCTCGCTATTCTCTCTCCGAGGACACTTTACTGAGAGAGAAAATTGAACCTAAAATTATTGTAAGTTGAAGTTCTGTTCATGATCTATCTGTGTGGATGTTATACTATAAAAGTGTTAACAAGTCCACTGCTATTTACAGACCAAGAAATAGCTTTTCACTACAGAGATTGCTGGTTGTGTCTCCATAAGCTTGTCCTTTATCATTTTCATGATAGTGACATCTGTATTCTTCTTCTTTTGTCGAAATCTGCTTGTGCCGCTAGGCGTCGCAGTCTATCAGATGATCTGCAACCGAGCCAGGGTGCGCTCAGTCGCTTCATATGCCGTGATGTTATGAAGTCTCAAGTTGTCCGTGACTCTTTTAATCCATCTTCTTCTTGGTCTTCCCCTGCCTCTTGGTGTTTCGATTTTCATGTTGTATGCTCTTGATGCTGGCATCCACATCTGTATTGATGATCATATATTTCTGTATGGATCCTGACTTCTAGTTCAGCTAAGTTGATGAATATTATGGAATTTAAAGTTATTTATGATACCGTGGGCAGGAAAGCAGTAGACTTTCAGTAATGCTGTTTATTTCAAAAATAACAAGAAGAGGATGTAGATAGATACAATCATGTTCAGTAGTACAGTAAAATCTTGTTAACACGAATTCCAGGGGACCAATATATCAAGACTTCATGTTAAAACAGTTTGTGCTAACTGAGGACTACTAATACATCCCTATTTGGACTAGAAGAATTTTCATGTCACCCTGTGTTCCTCTTAAGTGAGTTTGTGTTAACAAAGTTTTACCGTATTTACTTCCAGTCAAATTTTGTGGTACTTCTTAGTTTTTTTCTTCTCCAATAATATTGGTGCTTTTAATCTGTATAGCAAGCAATACAATGAACGCTAAAGGTGAATAGGTTAAAAATGTCAAAATAAATTATTTAAACTTCTTTTTTCGTTCACTTGAAATAGATTATCGGTATTTGCAGTATCGTCTCTAATATGAACTGTTTTTTTTTTTTTTAAATTTACTCAGCGTTGTAAAGTTTGGCTAATTTGCTGATTTTAAATTTTGTCAATAAATAATTAAGGCATTCTGAACTCTTTCTCTCTCTCTCTCTCTCTCTCTCTCTCTCTCTCTCTCTCTCTCTCTCTCTCTCTCTCTCTCTCTCTCTCTCTCTCTCTCTCTCTCTTACTATATTTCTCTCTCTCTTTCTGGCTCTCTCTCTCTCATTTCTGATTAATGATAATCTGTTATTGCATTTCTGTGTTTTCTCTCTCTCTCTCTCTCTCATTCTCTCTCTCTCTCTTTATATATATATATATATATATATATATATATATATATATATATATATATATATATATATATATATATATATATATATATTTATCTATATTTAAAACAAACATAAAGTAATAATATTTTCTGATGGTATTTCAGACTTTGAATGTAGAAAGTGGTGGGGAGATTGTGCAAGTGCGTATGCTAGACTGTGATACTATCACACAGGCAAAGGAGAAAATCCTCGATCACATATTCAAGAATATTCCATTTTCTCAGAGGCCTCATGTTAGAGACCTTGAACTTGGTAAGACTGACTTGAGTTATTAATCTTTTGTATCCTGAAAATGCACAAGTATTTTAAAAAGAAGCTGCCTTATGCATTTAATACATGTGTGAACTATTGGATTTGCCAGGACTGCTGTCTTTTTTACTTTTCACACGAGACAGTCTTGGGCAATTTCTATAGTTTTCACAGGAACTGAGAAATTATGAGGTAGAACATTTATAATAAAGTTGGAACCCCGACTGATAACTAGATAGACTGAGCACTGTCATCTGGAAAGATGGAAAACTGCCAATGCAATTTACAAATGTTAACTATATGAAACCATGACACAGCCAGTCTGTTGGCTCATGAAAAGAAATCACCATGACACAGCCAGTCTGTTAGCTCATCAAGTGAAATCACCATGATACAGCCAGTCTGTTAGCTCATCAAGTGAAATCACCATGATACAGCCAGTCTGTTAGCTCATCAAGTGAAATCACCATGATACAGCCAGTCTGTAAGCTCATGAAAAGAAATCACCATGACACAGCCAGTCTGTTAGCTCATGAAGTGAAATCACCATGACACAGCCAGTCTGTTAGCTTATGAAGTGAGATCACCATGATACAGCCAGTCTGTTAGCTCATGAAAAGAAATCACCATGACACAGCCAGTCTGTTGACTCATGAAGTGAAATCACCATGATACAGCCAGTCTGTTAGCTCATGAAGTGAAATCACCATGACACAGCCAGTCTGTTAGCTCATGAAAAGAAATCACCATGATACAGCCAGTCTGTTAGCTCATGAAAAGAAATCACCATGACACAGCCAGTCTGTTAGCTCATGAAGTGAAATCACCATGACACAGCCAGTCTGTTAGCTCATGAAGTGAAATCACCATGACACAGCCAGTCTGTTGACTCATGAAAAGAAATCACCATGACACAGCCAGTCTGTTAGCTCATGAAGTGAAATCACCATGACACAGCCAGTCTGTTAGCTCATGAAGTAAAATCACCATGATACAGCCAGTCTGTTAGCTCATGAAGTGAAATCACCATGACACAGCCAGTCTGTTGACTCATGAAGTGAAATCACCATGACACAGCCAGTCTGTTGACTCATGAAGTGAAATCACCATGATACAGCCAGTCTGTTAGCTCATGAAGTGAAATCACCATGATACAGCCAGTCTGTTGACTCATGAAAAGAAATCACCATGACACAGCCAGTCTGTTGACTCATGAAGTGAAATCACCATGATACAGCCAGTCTGTTAGCTCATGAAGTGAAATCACCATGACACAGCCAGTCTGTTAGCTCATGAAAAGAAATCACCATGACACAGCCAGTCTGTTGACTCATGAAGTGAAATCACCATGACACAGCCAGTCTGTTGACTCATGAAGTGAGATCACCATGACACAGCCAGTCTGTTAGCTCATGAAAAGAAATCACCATGACACAGCCAGTCTGTTGACTCATGAAGTGAAATCACCATGACACAGCCAGTCTGTTGACTCATGAAGTGAAATCACCATGACACAGCCAGTCTGTTAGCTCATGAAGTGAAATCACCATGATACAGCCAGTCTGTTAGCTCATGAAGTGAAATCACCATGACACAGCCAGTCTGTCAGCTTATGAAGTGAAATCACCATGACACAGCCAGTCTGTTAGCTCATGAAGTGAAATCACCATGACACAGCCAGTCTGTCAGCTTATGAAGTGAAATCACCATGATACAGCCAGTCTGTTAGCTCATGAAGTAAAATCACCATGATACAGCCAGTCTGTTAGCTCATGAAGTGAAATCACCATGATACAGCCAGTCTGTTAGCTCATCAAGTGAAATCACCATGATACAGCCAGTCTGTTAGCTCATGAAGTGAAATCACCATGACACAGCCAGTCTGTCAGCTCATGAAATGAAAGGGTCATACTATTTACTCAGTTCAAAAATTTATTTAAATGTAACAACAGATGAATATTAAGAATATACAAATACCTTTTAAGCAATATTTGTGACTGATTTTTACAACTCTTCCCAAATCATAGAGTGGCGTAACGGCCCTACAGGTCCCCTGCTGTTAACAGACACGGATATAGCATCTCACAACAAAGATGGCTGGCGGCGGCTGAACACACTGTCCTTTTACCGTCTGCATGATGGTTCATACATGACCTTGTTACATAGACATCAGACAAGCAAATATTTGAATGGTGAGTGTTTTCTAAGTTAAAAGACATACGTGGTATCAAGCATTTCAGAGACATTTTTTCTTAAATTTTATCTTGGCATCCTTTGGATATTTTCTTCAGGTCATGCCGGTGTCTTCGGAAATGAGCAGGCAGACTTGCTGGCTCTGCACCACTTGGTGGTGAATTTATGTATGATAAGGTAGATATTTGAGGGCCCTTTGGAAATGGGTGAACAGTGCGGAGGCACAGATAGATCATTACGGTCTGAGGGGAATGACGCTGCAAGAGTTACCAGGGGATCTGGCTGACGCTGAAGACTCAGGGGAAGGATGAGATGGATATACAATCAGACGGTTACTGGTACCATTGGAATTGGAAGTCTTTGCTTGCTGCTGAAGATGGGGACTGAGCACTTATGGGGTGTCCCGAGTGCTGTGATGTCGATTCCTAATTCAAAATTCAACATTCAATATTCAACATTCTTGAAACTTATTTAATTTAAATATCACCTAAAAGCTAAGCATCTGAATTATGAGTTGTTTTCCTGACTTAAAAATTGTCACCTGCTTTTTCTTCTTCTGCATTCAGCTTTAAAAACATAGTTGACTTATGTTGTGCTGAACAGCTAGACTGCGATATCTTTGCCTTTTGGCCTAGAACTTTTTAATCTGCTTCTTCTTCACATTCACTGACTGTGAACACCAGGGGAAAATTCTGGTTGTTCATCCCCTTCTGGATCTTAGTCTTGTTCCAGAACTTGAACTTTATGTGCACATCTGTTTTACAGATCTACCTGTTTTACTTGCAGACTTCTCGGTTCCCAGCCTGTATTAGTCGTCCCCCCTGTGGAATGCAATTTTTTGTTATTTAAAGCCCCACCCTGGCTTTTGCCGGGGGCCCTGAATATAGCCAGGCCATAAATAGGGACTAACGGCTGAAAGAGGTTTCTGTGACCTTTCCACAGGTGATTGATCCTCATCCGCATGGTGGCACTTTGTGTCACCAGGTGATTTTTGCTTGTGTGATGTCCTTGTGGGGTACATCAAGCAAGCAGTTCCCAGCCTGTCAGGAAAATGCACTCAATATCAAAGGAAAAACCCCCCCCCCCCCCCCCCCCCCCCCCTCCAATTAACCAACTTTTACAGCATACTTGTTAGGGGAACAATATGTCTGTCTTCTCCTCTCCACAATGGGAGGCCAGCATGAGATATAAATAAAATGTTGCTTCCACTTCTCCTACAGGTTCCCTCGATAACTCAGTGCTTTCCATCGGTTCAGTTTCACCAATACTCAAGAAGGACCAAGATTCCGGATTCAAGGAATATCACTTGGTGAGACGTGTCATATACTTTCTCTTTATCATCGTCAACATCATCATCATCACCAACACTATCATCATCACCACCATCATCATCATCATCATCATCATCATCACCACCACCACCATTATCATCACCATCATCATCACCATCACCATCACCATCCTCATCATCACCACCACCACCACCACGTTATCAACATCATCATCTTCATAATCAACCCTATCATCACATCCCAACCACCACCACCATCATCATTATAATCATTGTCACTATCCTTTAACGCATTCACTACCAAGCAACTTACCAAGTTTATTGGATTCCATACATGCATGAGTTTTTTTTTTTTGTGTGTGTGGGTGGGGGGTTTAGATTTCACTTCTGATGCATCATTTAGTTCCCATTTGTTTCTTCAACCCTTTCACCCTGAGAACCTTAAAGAAAAAACTACATATCTGGATGGGTTTGGTTGTAAATGTCATTTTTTTCCAGCTTGTCTTTAGTGACCTGATCACAAGATGCGTAGCTGATGCCACTGGCTGTTTTTGTCCCTGAACACATTTAGGAGGTCAGGATATAAATATATTAACTACCTTTAGCCTTTAAGGGAGTTTTCCTTTCAGCTAAATGGCTTTTTTTTTAAAAAGGCCAAGCTAACATCAGTTTTCCCATAAGCCTCAGTGATAGAGTCACTGTGACATCCTTAACAACAAGATTGACAGGTTACAAGACAATGACGTGGTTATTGTATGTAATTTCTGTCCCACTTTTAAGGTTTTTCTTTTACAACTCTGGTACATCTGTGGGACAAAAGAAATTGAAGTATCAATGGTTTGGATGAGAGCCGCTGTGGTGTAGCGGCTAGATGCTCACCTGCAGATCGGAAGGTTGTGGGTTCAGGTCTTGACAGAACCAGACTTTTTTTTCCTTGTAAAAAATGACCTTGGCTCCCAGGTCGACATTGGCGTTGAGATGGTACCAGGTATAGTCCTGGGAAGTAAAGGCAGCCAATGTGATGATGATCACATATATCACCCACCGAGTGCCGATTGGTCTGTAAAATATAGGTCTAACCCTATGTGCCCAACACACCTTAACGCATGGAAAAGGGTCCATTAACTTCTTCCTTTATTTTTTAATTTTTTGTATTTCAATACATTTGATTTATGTTAAAGATGGAAAGGCCTCTAGAAGATTATAAAAACATGTAAAGTAGCCAAATTAAAGTAAGTAAATAAAGGACCCTTTTCCACGCCTTTAGGTGCATATATTTTATAGACCAATTGGCACACGATGGGTGATGTGGTCAGCATCATGCTGGCCGCCCTTAGTTCCCAGGTCAACCGGGGAGCCAAGGTCAATTTTGGAAGAAAAAAGTCCGGCTCCGCCAAGGAGTGAACCCACGACCTTCCGATTGGCAGGCAAGCATCTAGCCACTCCGCCACGATGACTCCCATTGCTAAATTAAAGGCATGGGGAATTGAATGGCATCCAGTAATTTATTTGAACCAATGAAAAGTTAGTGATGTAATACCTAATGGACAAAGTTGTAACGAGTTATTTGGTACAGAAAGGACTCATGGCTTGACTATTCTCTCTCTGCCATCTCCAGGTGAAGCATGAAGACACCCTGGTCAAAGATGGCGGTGTCAAAATGATTTCAGAGATCTTCCTAACTAGACTGCTTTCCACGAAGGTAATTATCTAATAGCAATTAATGACTGTAGTTTTAAAACTGAACCTCAAAAAAGATTGGCTAATAAACAGCATCCTGTCTCGGAAGCTGAAATATTTTGGTCATATCAAGTGCCATGATGGATTGGGGGAAAAAAATAATAGCAGAAGGCATGGTGCCAGGAAGGAGCAACAGAGACCGACCAACACCAAGATGGGCACAGGATATAAGTGACTCCTTGAGTATGAAAGTGCATAGGGCCAGAGAGCTGGTGAGAGACCGTGTTTCTTTTAGGCAGACCGTGATGAGAGCGACATTTTGCAAAGGGCCTGCTACATGATGATAATGTTTAAAACCAAGTTACGTATTTTCTTTTGTTATTTTGGTGTTAAAATATGGCAGTGAAAGTTAAAGAACCACTAAAGACATGGAATGACAGTTACATGCATTTGAAAACAAATAAGGAACAAGTTGTACATAACTGGTGCTGGGTTTAAGGGAGGTGAAGAAACAGAAATAACAGCATAAGACAAAGAAGATAGCACTATACTAGACACATTCTCCGCATTTGGGTTCTGGGACCCCATTTGGGACAAAACAAGAATAGACCTACTACATCCCCAACAAGCATGTCATAGGATTTAACTAAATGGAGTCTTCCTTTGAAGTCAGAGAGCATCTACATAAAAGACAAGGAACAACCAGCTGCACACAAATAAGCCAGCAAAATGGATGTATACACAAAACTCAGATACTGGCACAAAGTCCAAATGCACAAACAACCAGGATTTTAACAAGAGATTACAGACGGTAAAGAAAGAAGAAGAAAGAAGAAGGACACATCCTGAGGAGAAATGAGCTGAGAATCAACAAACTGGCACTGACATTGGAAATAAAAGGATTAAGGAAGCAAAGACATCAACAACAAAAAATCATAGAATGAACATTGAAGAGAGAGGCCAAAGGTACTGGACCGAATTCCAACCATGATATCAAAGGGATTGCACAGAATGGAATTGAATGGAGAAATGGACTGTGAGCCCTATAGGGCATATCAAGGCACAACTAGACAATGAATGAATGACCCTCCACATTGTTGCTGATTATGCTGGGATGTGAATGGTAAAGCATGAAGACCGTACAAAGGCTATACCTACCGTCTAGCAGTAAATGACTCTCCACATTGTTGCTGATTATGCTGGGATGTGAATGGTAAAGCATGAAGACTGTACAATGGCTAAAACCATCTATCAGTAAATGACTCTCCAAAATGTTACTGATTATCTGTGATGTGAATGGTGAAGCAGTTTTAAAGCAGTTTAATACCTCTGTTTTGTTTTATGAAGTGCCGCTGACTAAACAGCTAGAACACTGGGCTGTCATGCAGGAGACTCAGGTTCCAACCCTTGGTAAGGGGATAAACACATTTTTCTGTCAGAGGCACACACACACACACACACACACACACACACACACACACACACACACACACACACACACACACAAATCATAATGTGTAAAGCCTGTAATAACTTCACTAGCCATAAGGCCCTAAACCATCTTGCCCCCCCCCCCCCCCCCCCCCCCCCTCCCCGGTCTCTTGTTTTTTGTGTATGTTTAGTTGTGCATTGTTTTATTGTGTATTGCTGGTGTTTTTTTTGGTTTTTTGTAAATTGTTTTTTTTATGTATTGTTTGCTGCATATTGTTGTTTTTTTTTTGTAAATTGTTTTGTTGGATATTGTTTTGTTGTATTTTATTTTGTTGTACATTGTGAATTTTACTGATTGCCTGCCTTTCCAGTGGTATCATCTATGTAACCATATTATCATGTGATTAAAGATGTGCAGTTAAATATCTAGCTATATTTCTGACATGATAAGAGACTGATAATTTGCATTAAAGTAACTGTTATATTCTTTTCTTGCCCCCACAAACAGGGCACACTTCAGAAATACATTGATGACTTCTTCAAGAATATGCTGTCTGTGTCCCCTTGTGTGCCGCCTGTTGTTAAATATTTGTTTGATTTCCTGGATCACCAAGCTGACATCCATGGCATCTCAGACAGTGAGGTAGTTCACACCTGGAAGTGCAACAGGTATGTTGGGTGCTGTGTTTATTTGTTTACTTTTTCTTCATCTCCTCTTTCTTCTTCTTCTTCTTTTTCTTCTTCTTCTTCTTCTTCTTCTTCTTCTTCTTCTTCTTCTTCTTCTTCTTCTTCTTCTTCTTCTTCTTCTTCTTCTTCTTCTTCTTCTTCTTCTTCTTCTTCTTCTTCTTCTTCTTCTTCTTCTTCTTCTTCTTCTTCTTCTTCTTCTTCTTCTTCTTCTTCCTCCTCCTCCTCTTCTTTTCTTCTTCTTTTCTTCATCTTTTTCTTTTTCTTCTTCTTCTTCTTCTTCTTCTTCTTCTTCTTCTTTTTCTTAGTGTTCATCGGCTGAAAACTCTGGTGGAAAGTTCTGGATACTCATTCACTTCTAGACTCTAGTCTTGTTCAGGATTTGAGTTTTGCTTGCACATCCATTTTACAGATGTGGTTTATCCGCATGCGTACTGTGGGTTCCTTGCTTCGCAGACAGATGCACTCTGACTTCAAAGTTAACACCCCTAACTAATCGACTATTACGACATGCATGTCAGGGTCAGCAGATCTGTTCCTCACACCCCACAATAGGTCCCTAAGAGCCCACACAGGGAGTACTTCTTTCAGCCTAAAATCCTTGCAGTAAAATACCTTTTTTTTTTTTAAACATATTTAGAAATTTCGCACTGTTTCAACCAATGTGTATGTTTGCTTTATGTTTTGCAGCTTACCTCTAAGATTCTGGGTGAACATTATCAAGAATCCAGATTTTGTGTTTGACATAACCAAGCCACGTATTGTTGACTCCTGCCTTAGTGTTGTTGCTCAGACTTTTATGGATAGCTGCTCCACGTCAGAGCACCGACTGGGAAAGGTGAGAAGTCTTTGAGAAGCTGTTTGCTTCGTTGAGATAATGTATTTATAGAACAAATGTTTTCCTTTTGTTGTATGCCAGTCCTGGTGCAGAAACTTGAACAATGAATAGGCAGCTTGAAAATTCTTCTTATTCATCTTCGCATTCACCCGCTGTAAACTCCGGCAGAAAGTTCTGGTTGTTCGTCCACCTCTGGACTGCAGTCATGTTCCAGAACCTGTGTGTTGCGTGTGCAACCGTTTGACAGATCTGACAAGTTTTTATGCAGACTGTTGGTTCCTTGCCTCTCAGACAGATGCACTCCGATTTTGAAGGAAGCTCCCGATTAGCCGACTCTTACGACATGTTTTTGGGTAGGCACTTGAATATTGAAATGAGTCTCTGGAAAGTGGATATAAGATGAATAGGTCACATTTTGTGGAAATTAAAACAATCAAGTTGATATGTTTAAGTACTTGGGTACCCTGATAACATCAGGTGGAAGATGTCTTAAAGAAGTTGCCAAATGAAGAATATATTATGTGATCTTTCTTTGTCAATTGGGACGAGAAAGAGAATTCTTCAAAGATATATAAATCCTAGATTTATATATGGAAGTAAATCATGGACAATTTGTGAATTAGTGAAAACCTATTTGGAAGCTGGGCAGATGTGGTTTTAGAGACATGTGATGAGATTACTTCGGACAGATAAAAAGAGAAATGAAGATGTCTTGAAAGAAACTGACTCACAAAAAGAATTGATTGCCCACATCAGAAAGAGACAATCTACATTCTTTGGTCATGTGATGAGAAGGAGAAAACTGGAGTACACCGTGACAGTAGAAAAGTTGGAGGGGAGGAGAGGCAGTGGGAGACCGAGAGAACAGATGCTGGACAGTTTGACATCATGGCATGGAAGATCATCAGTGTCAGTGTTGATTGAAAGTACACGAGACAGAAAGTTGTTCATAGACATGACCAACAACGCCACCCGGCATGGGCTTTAAGAGAAAAAAAAACAATCAAATACAAAGGTTCTGGAAAGACTGAGAATGAAAAGAGGATTACTGAAAGAAATAAAAAAGAGACAACTAAAATGTGTAGGCCACATCAAAATACATAACACTGTTTTAAAAACCCTTCTGGAGGGAAAGGTCGAGGGCAATAGAGCAAGAGTAGACAATGATACAAGTGAAAGGACAGCGTTAAGAGATGCACAGACAGCAGTTTGGGAGAATGTACAACCAGGACAAGAGACTGAGAGTGTTAAAGATCTATTACAGCCTACCTTCACTGCGGAGATGACACCTGGATGGCAGATTTTCTATTGTGAATTTGGACAGTTTTGACATTTATAGGAAATCATTAATTGCAGTTCTAACTTTATCACAAATGGTTTATCCCATAGTTGCCCCCTTTCACTAAACAAAAAAATCTATCAATGTTCCTTGTGACCAAAAATGACACAGGCATTAATAGTAAAATAAGGCATAAGGCAGTCATGCCATATTAATATCAAAGCACTAGAAATGCAATTCATCACAAATCGGAAAAGCAGTTACAACAGATCAGTAGTTGCACATGCAGTTGTTTGCATATAGCACCACTGGTTCTCTAGCAGCAGACCATTTGTCATTTTCTGAATCTGCAGTTCACAATTAAAAAAAAACGCACTGGGCACAGCTGAAGAGCATTCTACTTAAAATCCATAGTGCAAAGTGTTGGGCTATGCAATCAGATCAGTAGCTGGGTGATGGAACTATATCCTTTTTGTCCACATATGGAGGAAAATGCAACAGCTAACTATTGTCAGAAGCAAAAACCTGTCACGACTAAAAACGGTAAACTGCCTATATGCCATATTGACCAGAAATCCAAAAATTACAACACAAATAATACCTTGCACAGTTTACTGTCTGGCATATTTTGCCATATCTCATATGCATTGCTATGATCTAGAGGATGGATGCTCACTTGTTGATCAGAAGGTTGTGGGTTCAAATCCAAACATAGCTAATTTGTTTTTTAAATTACTTTGGCTTCAAGATTGACCTAAGGATATATATGGATTGCTGGGGAGTTAGGACAACAATTGTGGTGCTGAACACATAACCAACTGACTGCCAATTGGTTTATAAAATATAGGTCTAGCACCATGTGCCCAATATGCCTGAAGGCATGAAAAAGGATCCTTTACTTTGACATATGCATTTATACAGATGTTACATCAGCCAAACATGTACCTTTCAACTGAATTCACAGATGAAATTGTCTCATGTTAACCTGTACATCTCACCAATAGAAATCTATGCTAAAGTTGAGTAATTATGTGTTATGTAAACATAAGGATCATGTTGTTAAGCTTAGACTTCTGTGGTAATCCATGGTTAATCTTTTGCACCTTGCCTTAACAATGAAATGAAAACATTTGCTGTACTTACTACTACACTTCACTGAAGCTCCTGTCATGTTAACCAATATAATCTCAGCAGAATAATTATTTAATTTAAAACAATACATGAAGTAACAAATACCGAAGATATTATGATATGCAATTTGCAGACTTGATACAAGGGCTGATTCTCACAGGCTCTTCTGTAGAACAGTTTGTCCTGCAGTGGATTCCTGGTAACTGTGGCCTGGAAGGCAATGAAATAGTGGACAGATTGGCCAGGAGTGGCAGTGACATTGTAACTTAACCCACAAAACACTAAGATATTAATACAGTCTAGTATGCAAGAAAAGTGGCTGGATACGCACACCAGATTTTCTCCTAAGCATCTCTAAGAGGGACAATGTGTTATATTCAGACTAAGGACAGGGCACAACATGATTTTCAACAACATATTTTCAAATTTCTTGGTGCAGGAAACACAGAGACATGTTTCCTGCAACTTGACATCAGAAAATGCTGAGCACTGTAGACTAACTGCTGCTAAGAGGGAGGTCATCTGGCCTGCTCCAACCTCAATCACAACAAAACTGTATGGTACACAGGGAGATTTGGACTACAGGACAGCCTTCATCCTGGCTACTGGCCTGTTGATATAAGTTTGCTGGCACAGGGATCAAAAAAGGGGAAGAAGATTAGCTTCCAAAGTTACTAATATAAATAACTTAAATATTTTATATGCACATGAGGATTTTAAATGTTGTACTATTTACCATAAATATTATCCTACCTATTCTGTACAGGATTCGCCATCCAATAAACTGCTTTTCGCTAAAGATATAGTTCACTATCGCAAGCTGGTGGAGAAATATTTCGACAACATACAAGACCAGCCGGCTGTAAGTGACCAGGAGCTGAACACATTTTTGGCCGATATCTCTAGGGTAAGAATACTTTTGCTTTTTTGTAAAGGTTAGGCCCTATTGATTAGAAGTTAGTGAAGAAGTTTAACAATTTCCTGATCCTCAAGTTTTAGTGTTCCATTTCTGCAGCAAACAGTAACTGAATTTTTTTTTTCTAACATTTATGTGGTTTTTTGGACAATGAAATGAAAATTTCCTATTCTTGAATATTAATGTTCTATTTCTGCATTTAAAAAAAAAAAATTAATGTCATAGTTTCTGGACAATGGTATGAGAGTCACACCACAGAGAGGTTAGTGCCTCACTACATAATATCTGTTGCCCAAAGAGAGTAGGGGGTACTGATGCCAACCTTCACTGTGACGACTCAAAATATATTCACATTTTTCGGTGTAGGAAAGACAGATACATGTCCATGCAGCGTGGCACCCGCAAATGCTAAGCATGTGCTCCTACTCTGTCAACTGTTTGCTGACAACAGAGACGCAATCTGGCCTGTTCCAACCACAGTAAAGACAAAACTGTATGGTACACAAGAGGATATAGACTGCACGATAGCTTTCAAAAAGGCTATCGGCCTCCTGGTATAAGTTTTCTGACAGAAGGATCGAAGAAGAAGAAGAAGACTGTGAAGACATCACATAACTTTATTTTGGTAGAGGTAGTAATGTAACATATACTAACATTTGAGTTTAAGGTGTTAGATCGTCATCCATTCTAAACCATGGCATGTGATTTTGGGCAGCCAGTTCCCTTCCTCATTGCCTTTCATCATCATCTTTATCATCCTTGTATGTTTTTTTACTATTCGCACAGGCCTGACAGTCTATTCCTCTATTCTATTCTATCTTGTGCAATCAATACTTCTTCTTCTTTCGTTCATTTGCAATAAATTACCTGTATCTGCAATGAGGTCTCTAATATGAACTTCACCATATTTAGTAATTCACATAGCAGCCTATAAAGTTTGGCTTTCATCAGTATCTCAGTTCTGCCTGGAAATATATCTGGGGCAGTCTTGGAGGCTGTGATCTGTTGCCTAGGGTGCCAGTCCAGATGTACACATGGCTGATTCGCCAATCTTAAATTGTGTGTAAATGTGTGGCTGTGAAGTCGATTGTGCCCTGTTCTAAGGCATAGAATTATGACTTACTCTGGTCTGTCCATAATATGGTAATTGTCTTGTGTCAGTTTTGGTGGCTTTTTAATCGATTTGATTCTTCTGATTCTCTTCTTCTGTTGATAAGAGGCAATCAGTGCTGCATCAAAGACCCCCCCCCCTCTTTCCCTTCCCGCCTGCACCGTGAAAGAGGTTAAATAAAGTCAGTAATTGGAGGTTTAATGTTATTTTGATTTTAACATTTACCAGTAAAAGCTGGAAAACCACTACAGAAATGGAATGCAAGTTAAATACATTTGAAAACAAATTCCTGATGAAAATTTTGAACATAATTGGGAAGAATTCAAGAGGGATGAAGAAATAAGAGAAATGTCTGGACAACCATTGGTAAAAAGGGTTAAAAAACAAAGAAGATGGTTCTATATTAGACACACGCTGAGAAGAAATTAGCAGAGAATCACCAAACAGGCATTGAGATGGGAGGGATTAAGGAAGCAATGTCATTCAACAGAACTCCTAAAGCAAGCAATGAAGAGAGAGGCCAAAGGCGCTCTACTGAATTCCATTCATGATATCGAAGGGATTGAACAGGATATTACAGAATGAGAGACTAGACTGTGAGCCTCATGTGACATATAACGGCACAACAGGATAATGGTGATGGCAGTTTTCTGTCCTAGTCAAGTAAATAATGATGATGTAAATATGTGTGTGTGTCTGTTCTTCTTCTTCTTCGCGTTCACCAGCTCTACACTCTGGTGGAAAGTTCTGGTTGCTCGTCCATTACTGAACTGCAGTCCTGCTCCAGAACCTGAGTGTTGCGTGTGCATCAGTTTTACAGATCCTTGCCTCTCTGGCAGATGCACTCCGACTTCTGTATGTGTCTGTATGTACATGTATATATATATATATATGGATACTATAAATATTTGCCTTATTTTAAGTACAACTTATTTTTTCATCAACAGACAAGTCCAAAATTATTCTACATTTCCAGTGCATTAGGAGAGCTATACAAATATGTCTCCAAATATAAAAATGAGGTGGGTAAAACTCTTCCCCTCTCTCTGTCTCTCTCTTTCACTCATGCTCTTTCTGTTTATATGTATGAATCTGTCTGTGTGTGAATATTGTTACAATGACTTGATTATAAAAGCATGAAAGAAACATCAGGTGTGGCAGAATTAAACAAATCATTTATTTTGAATAAATTATGCACCACAGATTGGCCAGAAAAGTTGCTGTATGAGGCGTGAAATGCTAAACGCAAATAAATATAAGGATTGTGGTGGCTCACTGAACCAGTGTTTACCACAGCTATAACGATCCTATCTGTAGGAAATCATTGCCCCTTTACAGCTTTCTTTAGAGGTCTACACAAATCAAAATCAGGACAGTAAACTAGTGGTTGCAGAATTTCCCAGTTCTTCCGTGCTAATGCTTCCTGCACAATCTTTGCACCATGCCGACAACTGGTTCAGAAGACATTCCGAGTATCCTCCTTTTGGTGGCTGGTTAACATCCGTGGTACCAACAAGGGGGTTTTTAAATAAACATTCCTTTTATATCATCATCATGTGCCCTGCCAAATTGTGTAGGCACTCATGCATCTCCACAGATCACGATCCCTGGTTGCCTGGAACGGCTTTCTTGATGATATCCCTCCATGCCATTGTTTCAGCCCATCCAGCATTATATCTCTTGGTGTGCCTCTTCCCCTTTTCCCACTGATCTTTCCAGTTGTCATGATGTTCTCCAATGTCTCTCTTCTCATTACGTGGCCAAAGAACAGTGTTTGTCTCTTTCTTATTGTTGTATATAGAGATCTACTTTCATTAGCTTCATTCAAACAATCGTTGTTAGTTACTCTGGCTGTCCAAGGTATTCTTTTATGAACACACACACACACACACACACACACACACACACACACACATATATATATATATATATATATATATATATATATATATATATATATATATATATATATATATATATATATATATATATATATATATATATATGTGTGTGTGTGTGTGTGTGTGTGTCCTCTTCATGTCTTTACTGATGCAGGCATTCACAAGAGGTCTCCTTTGCTGCTGGTTCTTATTATGATATCCAGTCAGTGTACACTCTTTCATTTAACTTTTGCTGTTCTTCTGCATGTTTTGTTACGTCATGCACATCGTTTTCCAAGCTGTCCTTGCCAAAGCACAGTGAGGCATTCTGCAATCATGTCCAAGCCATTTTCATCTTCTTTCTTTCATCTTCTTCCTTTGTTAACATTTGCCTGTGATGGTAAGGTCAAGTAAAGGGCCCTCTTCCACGCCTTGTGGCATATTGGGCATATAAGGCTAGACCTATATTTTATGGACCAATCTGCACTTGGTGGGTGATGTAGTAGGCTAGCCACCTTTACTTCCCAAGACTTTAATAGGTATCCATTTAAGGCTCGGTTGACTTGGTAGCCAAGGTCATTTTTGAAGAAAAAATCCAACTCCATCAGGAATTAACCCACAACCTTGAGATCCGCAGGTGAGCGTCCAACCACTCCAACTACAGCAGTTCCTGCCAGTGATGGACATTTTGTTTTTCTCCCAAGTTATTTATTTGTGATCTTATACACTTCTGTGTGGGTGTTTGCATGCGCTCACATACACACACACACACACACACACAGACAGACAGACACAGACTGACAAATATACACACTCATTCACACACACACACACTAACCATCAGTTTAAAAAAAAAATATATTTATATATGGTTGAAGTATCAACTACCTATGCCTAAAAGATATAGTTTCTCATTAATTCAACTGCCTTCTTTCTTCCGTAGTTGATAGAAGCTTTGGATCAAGACATTCACGCAAACTCCCACCAGCTGTCCAGTAAACTTGGACATATAGTCTCATGCATGGAAGGCCCGTCTGGCAACATGGCTTTCGTGTGACCCAGCAGCCATCTGCAACCAGATGCACACTGAAATTACAACTTGGCTATGCTGTGGAGAAGCTCCTCTTAGCACAGTTCTTGAATGCATTTGTGTGTTGATGTATGTATTTATGAATGAGTGTGTGCAGGTGTGTCAGTATGTATGTTTGTGAATGTCTCTGTGTGTGTGTGTGTGTGTGTGTGTGTGTGTGTGTGTGTGTGTGTGTGTGTGTGTATGTGTGTGTGTGTGTATATATATATATATTTATGCATGAGTATGCTATGTTACTGTTGTTGTTGTTCATTCAATACGAGTGATTAAGACCACTTTTTATCCAAAGTAGTAATGATCAATGATTATGAGTACGAAGGTTGCTGATTAGTCCAATATGAGCCGGAAAGTTCTTGAACAATGAGGACAACAGGTGGAAGCCGCTATGTTACTACTAGTGATGTCACTACACATTGGACATTCCCATACGTGCAAAGTCCTCTGATGTAGCAGCCACTTCAGGGTACCTCTACTGATTGTTCCTGTAAAAAATTGATTATCTTCTTCTTCTTCGCCTTCACTTTTGGACTGCAGTCCTGTTCCAGAATCTGAGTGTTGCATGTGCTTCTGTTTTACAGATCTGACTCATTTGTATGCATACTGCTGGTTCCTTGCCTCTTAGGCAGATACACTCCGACTTCGAAAGAATAATCCAGTTAGTCAACTCTTATGACACGCTTTTGGGTAGGCAGTTTATCTATTTTTGTTTTCCCTATAATAGGGCCCCAGAATCCACTATAATATCTCATATTTTTACCTCTAAAGTAACACAAATAGGCTTAATCAGGCATTACTCCCTGGTCACATAATCCTGTTAGCGCCAGGTGGGAGTACATTTGTGTTTGGGTATATGTGTGTCTATGTGTGTACGGATGTCAAAAATCTAGTTGTGTCTGTAAATCTGCAGCCATGACCAGACAGAAAAAAAACAAGCATGTCCAAAAGGGTGAGGCCAAACAACAGCACTATGCAGGAAATCAAAGAAGATGATTTGAGAATAGGATCTGACCGTTACTGGCTGAATGATTTAACTCTTTCAGTCCCAGGAGGCCCAAAAGGGTAGTAAAGAGATATAAAACTGGTGCATCTTGCATTCAATGGGCTTCTAGGTACGAACCTATAAACGTATGATTTGTTCCTTGGGACTAAAAGAGTTAATGTGCAATGAAGATGATCTCTCGACTATGTGTATATATTTATATGTATGTGTTTGTATATGTGTGTGTGTACATACATACATTTGAATGTATGTAAAAAGTGTATATATATTAGGGATGTGTGTATGTATATATATGTGTGTGTGTTAACTTTGCTGCAACATGTATATTCACAATATACTTCCTTCAAATCTAACAAAAGTGGATTGGATTTGTTCTTCCATGCACATTTTAAAACTGATGTTGCTTGTTTTCTTTCTCATTTATTATTTGCAACTGTATAACATTGTCAATGTTTCTAAAGACTTCAAAATAACAGATAACGCTAGTCTAGAAGGATGTTATATTTTAAATGCAAAATGGATGCTATCATGTAAGTTAAATTATTTTCTCATATGTGTGAGTATGTGTATGTGTTTGAATTTCTAGTCAACTGCATTTTCAGTGACTGTGTACAAATGGAAAGGATGGAACTTTCAAGAAATATATATATATCTTGAATTATTGATTCAGTCTGTGATACGATACGTAGTGTGTATGTCTGTACTTAAAGTATATGATACACAGAGGGATGTGTCATATTTGCAGTCAGTATTATGACTCTTGCTTGTCTCTTTCACACCATACAAATCTTTAAAATTGTCCTTTTTTTCTTTAAAAAAAAAAAATTTCAAAAGCGTATTATGCTTCTCTGAAATTATGCTCTTAAAATTAGAAATAGAGCGAGAAGATGAATGAATGAATGACTTTCTACCCCACCAGGACATCACACAAGCGATAAACACCTGATGACACAAAGTGCCACCATGTGGATGAGGATCGCCGTGGAGAGGTCCCAGAAACAGCGTTCAGACAATTGGCCATATTTATGGCCTGCCTATATTGCGGCCCCTGGCAAAAGCCAGGGTGGGGCTTCAAAAAACAAAAAATTTCATCCTAAAAAGGACGAAACTAGATTAGTGAGAAGATGAAGCAGAAAACTATCAGGAGTCTTGGTAAATGTTCATAAAAATACCAGGGGTTGAAACCCATAACCACTATGCAGACAGGCAAGCCTGCTAGCTATTGTGTACATGTGACCCCCTTAGTCACTAAAGAAAGATGGATTTTTCATATTTAGAATCATTAATTTGTACCAAAAAAAATTTTATTTTTAAATATGAAGGGAAGTAATCATTAAATTCAAATGGCACAAAGAAATAACAATATTCCTTCCCTTTGACCAAGAAAACAGTGGGTTTGTTGACACAGCTACAGAAAGCAAAGTGACATAATCATAAATTTGTTACGACTTCACAATAACCAAAAAAATTGATCTTTGCTTTTTAACCCCAAATAGTATCTCATTTAAAATATATATATAATCATACCCACTATGTCTACACACTGTGCATTGGCAACCTGTACTAAAGCTGTTACTACTCTATTTCCTGTAGCGATAGTCGTACCCTCGTGTGATGCAATATTTTGTTTGGAGCCCCACCCTGGCTTCTGTTGGTGGCCCTGAATATAGCCGGGGCATAGTTATGGCCTAGCAACAGATATGGCCTAATGGCTGAAAGGGGTTTCTGGGACCTCTCCACGGGTGATCCTCATCCGCATGGTGGCACTTTGTGTCACAGGGTGTTTATCGCTTGTTTGATGTCCTAGTGGGGTACAACAACCTACCTACCTAAAACTGTCATTGCTTCCAGCCCATTATGGGATGTTAATTTGTTTAGGTTTTTTTTTTTTTTTTTTTTGCTTTTTTATTGAGTCTTCAGGATTGTCTTATGGATGGGAAGTGTTCTAAAGCATTATATTTTTTATTTTTATTTCCCCCCCAAGTGCATCCTGCATTTGGTGGTTCCATATTGCTCCCAGTTTTAATTCTTTCTCTTCTTCTTCTTTGCGTT